GTGACATAGTAAGAGCTTGTCTCAAAACAAAAACAACAACAAAAAAGGAAACTTCTCTTTGATAAAAATAAGGAAAGAAAATACAGAATTCTAAATTTAATATTATTCTATCAGATATCTGAAAATACAGTTCTGAATACTTCTCAAATTTAATGTCAGTGTCTTGATTGTTCTGTAAATGGATGGTCACTCAATTAGGATTTATTGAATGTCTATTCTAGGAATGCTGATTTGCTACTTTATAATTTATGGATATGTTGAAATCCCAAACATGTTGTACTGTTATGATTTTTTTCTTTAACTTTTTCATTAACTTTTAAATGATAAAGCAGTACATTCAATTCTAGGGAGTTGGCAAGTCTTAAATGTCAAAGAAAGAAAGCATGAAACATTTGCTTTTTTAATAGAGAATTCTTGTTTTTGGAAAGCATTTTGCCCATGTGTGCAGTTATTGAAGTAAAATATTTGTACTTGGCTGACTTCTCTTCACCAAATGTCACAGTCCAGACCCCTTTTTGGTTAAAGACCCAGGGGTTGAGTCCTTATGCAATTTAATAGGCAACTAATATTCAAAGAAATGTAGAGAATGTGCTTGATAATTACTGGATGGAATTTATGTTGTCCTTTTTATAATAAATTGTCCTTTTTATAATAAAGTTGGTTAGTTACTATCAGGAGCATACATACAACTCATTCTTCTACTAGTTTTTATGTCATCTTACCTTTGGTGTTTATAGGTGGTATTACAGATGGTGAGGGTGTTGATCTATCCACTAACAGAGTGACCACAAGACTGATGTTGGTGAGCAGACCTCTATGACCTGGCTCTCAGGTTCCCTATGTCTCTGTGGGCGGAAGTTCAGTTCGTTACTGAGGCACATGTTGGCAGAGCTTGTCCTTCTGCACATTCACTGAATGGACTTCTTCTGGCAGAACCAGTCTAGATTGTCAGGGTTCAGGGTTCTACGTGCTTCTGCTCCTTTCCATTATTTCACTTACGAAGCATGGTGTGAAATGGTGCTTTGTGGTATCATATTTGTGTTGCCTGACATGTGTCTTAGTAATACATAATCTGTGAATATCCATTTTTACACACTCCCTCTTCCTGTCCTACAGATATTAAAAAGTCATATGCAAAGGCCCCATGATGGCATTTGGTGCCCCTAAGGGAGGAGCACTATGCATCTGAGAAAGTAAGATCATGGCTGTGTGTTTAGAGCAGAGGTGGGGAGGGCAGGGCCAGAAACCCAGACCCTTGTGAGCCATCTTACTGACCTTTGGTTGCTAAGCAGAAGGGACCCTTTGGACGTTTTTTCCTTTTGGGTTTGTTGTTTGTGTCAGATTTGTCTTTGTAAAGTCATCCCCGAAGACAATTTTGTGTGGATTTCTGCAGGGAGGATGGGAAGGTGGTGAGAGAGGATAGTCATTTGGTATGGGGACCTGTTTCCATGGAGTGGATGGGATGTAAGAAAATGGAAGTAGCAGGAATAAACAGTTTTGAAAAACCATGTTATTTTGGGAAAAAACAGATCACTGAACCCATGTTGCTCTCCTGTTTTACTCTCCAGGCTTTCAAGCAGGTTCCTTATGTCTCTGGGCTGTTCTCAATTCACTACCCCCAAAGCAGGCTGGCTCCCAGGGTAATGTATGTCTGCTGGGCGGGTCAGTGAGTAACATTCTTTTGGATTTTTTTTTTTTTTTTTTTTGATACTAAAGATTGAACCCAGAGGTGCTCTACCACTGAGCTACATCCCCAGCCTTTTTTTTTTTAAATTTTGAGACAGGGTCTTGCTAAGTTGCTAAGGCTGGCCTTGAGCTTGTGATCCTCCTGCCTTAGTCTTCCAAGTCACTGGGCTTACAGGTATGTGCCACCACACCTGGCCATCCTCTTGGATTCTTGCATCTCCATGATCTGAAAGTGACTGGGTCAGAAATCCAACTTGATCAGTGAGGCTGCCATTTCTGACCCCTCCCACTCTATAATGCACCCCCACCACCTGCTCTACAAAGAGTCCAAAAATTCATGACCATCTGAATACTCTCAAGATTTACTGACTCAACTTCTTGACTCTTGCATTTATTCTGTTTTTTTTTTTCTTCCTGTCACTACCTCGTTGTCTTTCAACTAGGCTATTTACTTCTGAGTGCTTCAATTAAAGAAATGGGGATTATAATATCTACCTTGAGGGTTTGGACTTAATTATAACCCAAGAAAAGGGATTCTGTGGGAGCTGAGATACCTCACTCAGATCCCTTTAAAATTCTCACAGTAATTAAAGAATTTAGATGTCTGGCCAGTTAACAGGGTTAGAGAAAAAGGAATTGGCATTGTATGTGTCAAACACTTTATGTACATTATATCAGTTAATCCTTTGAAACCTCCACAAATAGGCAGGCATTTTACAGGTGAGAAAATGGAGAATTAGAAAGGTTAAGTTATTTGTCCAAGATATATAGCTTGTTAGGCACTTGCTCAGATGTTAGGCATTCCTGCAGGCAGCAGTGAGTGTTTTAGCTTTTGGTTGCTGTGGTTTCTTTTCTTCATGGTGATTATTCCCCAGGCTATAGACTATTTACTCTAAAGTTTGGGAAAAAAAGTTTTGGTTTAGCATACATGTACTTTCTGGGGTTTGTGTTCTTTCCCTTTTTCTGCTGGGCAGTATTTCTATTTAATCCCCATTGAAGCCACAAAAATAATAATTGACTTTCTGTTACTGTGCTTATTTTCGTAGGGTTATAAAGTGTATTATATGTATGTATTGTAGGTAAACCAACTAAGCAGAAAGCAAATGTTTGTTTAACAGAAGAGGAAAGAAATGATATTCATGGCAGATTAAATTCATATTCTTTTTTTTTAAAGAGAGAGAGAGAGAGAGAGAGAGAGAGAGAGAGAGAGAATTTTTTTAATATTTATTTTTCAGTTTTGGGTGACACAACATCTTTATTTTATTTTATGTGGTGCTGAGGATCGAACCCAGCGCCCCACGCATACCAGGCGAACGCGCTACTGCTTGAGCCACATCTCCAGCCCCAAATTCATACTCTTAATACATTTGTCACTGTGTGATATATCTGTAGTCTTGAATAGTTCACATTCAGGGATTTCAGTGCCTTGAGTCAAGTAGTCAGTAGTGGTAGATGTAGTAGCCGTAAGGACAAAGTCATTGACAATAGTCAACATTGAGCTGTTGCCAAGTGTATGTGTCACTCTGTCTCCAAATGCTTTACTTGTTTTACCTGCTCAGTAACCCTGAGGGCAGGTAACATTTTAATCCCTATTTTATAGTTGAGGAAATAAAGGAACAGAGAGGTAGAAAACTTGTCCACAGTCACGTAGTTAGAATACATACTACACCAAGTTGGCAGTTCTGAGTCTGAATTAATTCAGATTTATATTGTTAATCAGTTAAATATATTATTGAAATATATGTCAATGTGTTATCTCCTTTCCTGGGACTTGACTCAACTCCAAGGGTGTTGGTATCAGGTTATTTCAGCATAAAAATTCCTAGGCCAAGTGGGGTTATGTGTGTTATGGTGTAGATATGAGATGACCCCCAAAAGCTATGACTTAGACAATGTAAGAAGGTTTAGAATTGAAGTGATTGCAATAGCTAAATTATGGAACCAACCTAGATACCCTTCAGTAGATGAATGGATAGGGAAACTTTGGTATATATACATAATGGAATATTACTAAGAGTTAAAAGAGAATAAAATCATGGCATTTGCAGGTAAATGGATGAAGTTGGAGAATATAATGCTAAGTGAAGCAAGCCAATCCCCAAAAAACAAAGGCTGAAAGTTTTCTTTGATATGAGGGTGCAGCCTCATAAAAGCGACTGGGGGTGGAGCATGGGAGGAATGGAGGAACTTTAGATAGGGCAAAGGGGAGGGAGGGGAAAGGAAGGTGCTAGGGGGCAGGAATGATGGTGGAATGAGTTAGACTTCATTACCCTAAGTACATGTATAAGACATGAATGGTGTGAAATTACTTTGTGTACAACCAGTGTCTTGAAAAATTGTGCTAAATATGAAATGAATTGCATTCTGCCATCATGTATAACAAATCAGAATTAAAAAAAAAAAAAGATCTGAAGTGGTTGGGTTACTAGAGCCTTAACCTAATCAGTCCATCAATTCACTTGAATGGATTAAGGGATTGGTAGCCATAGATAGGTAGGGTATGGCTGGAGGAGGTAGGTTGTGGTGGGTGTGCCTTTGGGGTTAATATTTTGTCCCTGGTGAGCTGAGACCTTTCTCTGCTTCTTGGTGGCCATGTTCTGAACTGCTTTCCACGGTCACTACTTTCACCGTGACTTTCTGCCTTACCTCAGGCTCTGAGGAATGGAGTTGGCCATCTGTGGACTGAAACCTCTGAAACTGTGAGCTCCAAATAAACTTTTCCTCCTTTAAAATGGTTCTTATCAGGTCTTTTGATCACAGCAGCAAAAAAGCTGACTCAAACAGTAAGTCACTTTAATTACTGAGGTGTCCTAAAGCAATCCTTACTATGCATTATTAAAAACAATATTTCAAAAATTTAGATATGAAAACATTATAGACTCATGAAGGTGCTTTAATTTAATCGAAAGAATGTCATTGAAATGGCAGATTTCATATATTTAAAAGCTGGCTGGGAAATATGTTGCTTTTAGATTCTAGCAGAGAAGAGATTTTTGAAAGGTTTGTTAGGTTAATAGGTAAGGTGAACATCTTTTCTATTTGGCAAGCAGAAATATTGGATTCTAAAACCATTTCACAGGAAGAAAGTGTGAGTTAATAACAACATAATATTTTTATAATTTAGGACATTTTTTTTTTGTGGTGCTGGGGCTTGAACCCAGGACTTTGTGCATGCGCGAAGCAAGCACTCTATCAACTGAGATGTATCCCCAGCCCAGTTTGGGGAATTTTTATTGACTAAGAATAATACTGTGTAATGTGTTTTAATGCTTTTATGTTAAAACTCCTCCCCTCTTTTTTTTTCTTCTCTTAAGTTCTTCACCAAAGGACATGGATGAAAGTGAAAGCAGCCAGTCCCTGATGACAAGCAGCCAGTATCCTAAAGAAGCAGTAAGAAAACGCCAAAATTCAGCTCCGAATTCTGGAGGAAATAATTTTTCTAGGAAAAGCTTCAAGCTGGATTACAGACTAGAGGAAGATGTAACTAAGTCAAAAAAAGGAAAAGATGGTAGATTTGTTAACCCTTGGCCAACATGGAAAAACCTCTCTATTTCAAATGTTCTCAGATGGCTGATAATGGAGAAGGATCACAGCAGTGTTCCATGTTCCAAAGAGGTAGCACTTGTCTTTTCAAAGTCCTTTGTACTCTTAATTCATATATTACTAAGCTTTGCTATGAGTGGTACACTCAAGTTAGTTAATTGCTCTATCCTATGATAAGGTAGAGTGCTAGGTTTTGGGCGAACAAAGTAAATAGCGTAACCTGTGCTCACAGGTTCCTAGTTCAGCAGGAGAGTACACATGGATAATCACCTCTGATCTGGAGTGCTTTAGAGGTATAGCAAAGAAAGTGATTAATTTTGACTTAGTGGGGTTAGATAGGACTTCACTGAAGAGATGTCTGTTTGCACTGGGCCTAAATAACTAAGAAGTCTTTTGACAGTGGTTTTCCAGGTAGAGGGTGGCAAGAACAAGATCATGAAGGTGAGAAAGTGTATGATGTATTCTAGAAAGTAGTTACCTGGCAAGTTTGGAATGTGGATTATTAGCAGTAAGTAAGACATGGATGGCATAGAGTGGATGGCTTTTAATCCTTGGATAAGACTTCCAGAACTGAAAAAGAAATCTTCAGATGATGTTTCCAGACCTTTGAAACTTGACTGTAGACTACTGGTCTTTAAATACACTAGCCTTACTTAGGATGAAATTTATTAACATTTAGCATAGAGATTATTAGATGAGTAGGGTATACTTTATTCATAAATATGAATGGCAACGGTTGGTGGTTCTCAGGTATAGGAGCATATTTTTCTCCCTTCTCCTTGCTTAAGTTATCTGCATGCCTCCCATCAGCCTCCTCCCCGCATATCTATATCTAGAGATACACATGTGCGTGCGCACACAACACACACACACATACACACACACACACACACACAAACACATGTTCCATTCCTGTGTTGCTAGTAATGGAACCCAGAGACTTTACCTACTATGCAAGTAAGTGCTGGGCCACTGAACTATATGTCCCCAGCCTAAAAATACTGTGTTTTAGCACCTTATTAGAATTAGGCATGAAAGCTTATTTTCTGCTTTGAGGTTGGGAAAAAGGGACAAGTAAGATTTTTCTCCCCCCACGTCAACCCTATCTAAGAGAGAACATGGAATCAAGCTGTGAAGAAGATTAGGGCAGAGGGTCAGGACATATAAGCTATGCATTGAGGTAATTTTTCCTGGCTTTTGAGCCACAGCTTCTAATAATAGTACTTTCAGTTTTGTTTTATTTCTAAGAGCAAATGACCTCATGAAGGTGAAATCTCTCTATTCTAATGATTTAAGAGGTATTTGAGAAACTTGGTTGAATCTTGAGGACTCACTAAGCCAGTGGTTCTTGAGCTCTTTTGGATGCTGGCTTTTTTTGAGAAGCCGATGAAAGCCATGGACCATCTTCTTAGAAAAATAAACACATGTACATTATTAGCACATTGCCTGTTTGTGTAATTTTACAGTTTTTATGGGTCTTGTCAAGCCCATTCATTCACTCATTTATTTAGCTAGCATTACTGAGCAGCAGCTATGTGCTGGGTACCTTGTATTATGTGTTAGAAACAGAGCCACAGACAAAGCAGAAAGACATGCTGGCTTTCTTGGACCTTAGGTTTAGTGAAATAGACAATAAACAAAATATATAAGTAAATTGTGTGGTATATTGAAACATGGTAAGTGCAATGGAGAATAACAAAACAGAAGGAAGTTAGAGTTGCATTCTTTAATGATGTAAAAGGTTTATTCTTTGGTCTTTAAGTTAGGATATTTAAAAAAAATGCCAAAGGAGGCTTCATGTCTCTAAGTGTGCACCTTAAAAACAAATTCGGTGTCATATAAGAGAGAAAAAACACTTTTGCACTATTTCAACTTAGTTTTGTTTCTGATCTCTTTTATTTCTGTCTTGTTTCCTCCTTGTTTTCAGTCAAAGCCCAGAACTAGGTCAAATTCATGTTGACCTCTCATATTTCTGGAATAACCATAACTATTTGTTTAAACTCTTTAAATAAATTGCTGAAATGATTAACTTTTGCTGGCTCCCAAATGTGAAAGAGCTCTGCGTTTTCCAGAAAATCAACATGAAGAAGTGTGTGCAAAAGACCTGCTTCATATGGTTGGGTAGACTCAGAATTCAGATTTCTAGAAATTTGGAAGCTAGCATTTAGTAAGTAAACCGTAACTAAAAAAAATTTTTTTTTTTGGAAAGAGAATAATATGATGTATATGGGATAATTATATACCATGTGATTTTATCATCCTCTATTGTTTATTTATTTAGTTATATTAATAAGAAAATGTTTTGGAAGAAGCATATAATTAAAGTATACATTAACTGATAGGTCTAAATAAAATGAAAGTGGGTCATAAGCAGAGCTGCATAATTTAGTTGCCTGGTCAGAAGCAGGGTCTCTTTCCTTGGGCCGTTCCTGATATTTGTCTCTGCTGGTGGTTTAGCACAGCATGCCAGTTCACAGCTGGACACTGTTCAGATGCTGTCATTGCTTTGTGCTATTGTTGGCTCAGTGACCTTGTCTGATTTTTATTGTTGATCACAGTCACTGATAGTGTGGGGAAATGAGACTATTGGAGAATTTCAAAGTGGGAGGGAGGCAGGCACTTCCTGGGTTTCATTAGTTGGAGGAAGCTGGCCTAATTGGTTACTACTACAGAAGTAAACATAGGACATCTGATTGGAGTCTGAGAAACCCAGATCAGGCTGCCACAGCATCAGGAGTTCAGGAACCGGGGTTAGGTTTAGGAGTCTTACTGACTGTGTGACCTTATTTATATCATAATCCCTCAAGGAATTCTGTGATAGTTTGGCTCTTAAATGTCTCTCCAAGTCCCACATATTAAAGACTTAGTCTCCAGCTTGGCACTATTGGGAGGTGGTGGATCCAACATTTTGTTGCTGTTGGAGATCGAATCCAAGGCCTGGTGCAGAGGAAGCACTCTACCTCTGAGCTATATCACTAGCCCTTTAAAAAATCTTATTTTGAGGGACTAGGGTCGTGGCTCAGTGGTAGAGCACTCGCCTAGCATGCGAGCACCACATAAAAAATAAATAAACAAAACAAAGGTATTGTGTTCAACTACAACTAAAAAAAATATATTAAAAAAATCTTATTTTGAGATAGGTTCTCCCATAGTTGCTCATGGTAGCCTTGAACTTGCGATCATCCTGCCTCAGCCTCCTAGGTAGCTGGGATTATAGATGTGCTCCATCATGCTTAGTAGTGGAATCTTTAAGAGGTGGAGCCTAGCACAGTGGGGTCCAGTCATTGGGAGCATGCTCACAAAGGGGATTGTGGGACCCTGATCTCTTCTTCCTTTTTCTTTTCTTCCCAGCCAGGAGGTGAGGGATTTTTGTGGAGTATTCCCTACCATGGTGTGTTGCCTTGCCACAGGCCCATAAAAAAATCGGGCTATTAAATCATGGACTGAAAATCCCAAACTACGAGCCAAAATAAATCTTTTTTTCTTTATAAGTTGATTTAGCTCAGATATTTATTATAGTAATGGAAAGCTGACCAACACAAACTTCATCTTTTTTTCCTATAAAGTGACAATAAACTAGAGTGGGTCACTAGTCTTATTTTGAGGTTCACATGATACATGAAATTATTTTGAAAATATAATGAATTCTTAGATGTATGACATTGAGGAATAGGATGCCCTTTGAAAAAAAGGTAATATTCAAATTATACTATAGGTATACATGTACAGATGCTTTTTAATTTTTAGCAAGAAAAAAAAAGTACGTATAGTTTTTAAAAAGACATAGTACTGAAAGGCTTATAAGGAAAATGTCAGTCCTCTAACTAGCCCCTGCCACCAGTTCTGCTCCTCAAAGGCAACAGTTTTCAGTGCTTTTAAATTGTTTCCTCTGGAGTTTACCTTCTTGTTTCAAAGGAAAAAGAATATATGCCTTTTCTTGGCATTTTCTGATACTGACTTCTACCCTGGATATCAGAGTAACTCAATCTCTTCTGCTACATAGATATATTCAATTTTTTTTTTTTTAAGATGAGATCTTGCCATGTTGCCCAGGCTTGCCTCAAACTCCTGAGCTCAAGCGATCCTTTTGCTTCAGCCTCTTGACTATTTGGGGACTTTAGGCCTAACTCTATTTTTTTGTTTTTGATAGATAATGCTTGTTCATCTTTATAGAATACAGTGTGATATTTTAGAATACTTAGGTTATCCATCCTAGCAAACATTTATCAATTCTTTGTGATGAAAACATTCAAAATCCTCCTCTCTAGTTATTTTGATTTCTACAATATAACATCATTAACTCTGATTACCTTTCTGATTTCACTGGTAACATTTTTGTCATTGTATTGATATTTTTCATTGATGAAAATAATGTAAACTTTGGCCATGTCTCCTTTCTTATATGCTTTTTTTCACCCTGATATTAGTAATACCTCTTTTTTTCAACTGCTTGACTTCCTGAGTATTTATGATTACTATTTTATTGCTTTCTGTGACTTCCCAATGTAGTTTCCCTGAGGAAAAGACCCTCGGTGGTCTTCCAGCACCCTTTCTACAACCCAATCCCTTTTCCACATGCTTTTTCAAACTCTAGTGATTAGGGTAGAAAGTAAAAGATGATATTTTTTTTTTCCTTTGGAATCTCAACATAGATTCCATGTCTTTGAGTCTTATGGGATAGTAGTGCTAGAGAGCAAGTTCTTAAAAATAAGTTACTCTTGTGTGATGGGACTGGAAACTACACACCATGAAGGAAGGAACATGAAGAAAAGCGTGCCTGTTAGTTCAGCTCTCCTGTTGCCTCTTTACCTCCTTTTGAAATAGCTTTGTTGAGATATAACTCACATACCATGTAATCAACCCATTTAAAATCCACAGTTCAGTGGTTTTTAGTATATTCACAGAGTTGTGCAATAATCACCGTAATTTTTATTTATCTCCCGAAGAAACCTATTGTCAACCCTAAAAGAAACCCATGCCCTGAGTCATCCCTGTCCAGTTCCCTTACCCTCCCTTGTGCCCTGGGAACAGCTGATCTATTTTCTGTCTCTCTGGACTTGCCTGTTCTGGATATGTCACATACATGGAATCATCCAGCATGTGGGCCTTTGTGACTGGCTTTATTTAGCATTTTATCTTTTAATACTTTTTAAAAATCATTTTAATACCTTTAGACAGTAAGTCAAAGCTACCAGCTTTTAGAGCAGAAAAAAAACAACAACCAGTTTTCAGGGTATTTTGTTATAGGAGATTTTAATGTACTGTTTAAAGACAGTGTTACTTAAAACATTTTCAATAGTTTTGTTAACATAATCTGGGCTGCACATATTTAAAATGTATAATTTGATCAGTTTTGACATACATATGTGTGTGTGCTTGTGTATGTATTTTTATATGTATGTACACACACATACACAAATACCTAGAGCACTTGGGGATGAGGGATCACGACAATTAAGATAAGGAACATATCCATTATTCCCAAGTGTTTTCTTTTGATCTTTTGTACTCCATCTCTACTTATTCTCCCCCACTTGATCCCTAAGCTGTTACTTTAAAAACAAACAAACAAAAATAGACTGTGTTAAGTGAGATCAAGTGTGAAAGTATGGTGGAGGGAAGCAGTAAACATGGAGACCAGCAGGGAGATCTTGTGCGAGTGCTGTTAACTAGTTCTTCTTCTGTTCTGTGAAAATGGAGACATTTCAGTTGGCTGTGGTGGCGCATGCCTGTAATCCCAGTGGCTCAGGAGGCTGAGGCAGGAGGATCACAAACTGAAGGCCAGCTTCAGTGTCTTAGTGAAGCCCTAGTAAGACTCTGTCTCAGAGTAAAAAATTTAAAAAGGGCTGGAGATGAGGCTCAGTTGTTGAGCACCCTTGGGTTCAATCCCTGGTACTGGGAAACTAAAAAGGAGACAGTTCACAATACTTACTTCTAGTGTCTTGTCTTGGTCAGTATTAAATTAAAAAAAACAATTATGGGCTGGGATTGTGGCTCAGTGGTAGAGTGCTCGCCTAGCACAGGCGGGACCTGGGTTTGATCCTCAGCACGTCATAAAAATAAAGGCGTTGTGTTCATCTACACCTAAAAATAAGTAAATAAATATTTTTAAAAATCTATGAAGCAAATAGTATTGAGCATATAGAAACTCCATAAATGGTAGCTGTTGTTAATGTTATTTTATACTAAAGTGTTTGATATATTAGATACTTCATCCTCATCATCATTCCAGGACTGGTATGATGCCTAACTTTTGGTAGGCCCTCAACTTTTATTCATTTCTCTATTTCCTCAGTTCTTGATAAATATGGCATTTGTTATTCTCTTTACCAGATTTGATAACTGATTGAAAAATTGACATTCATTCATCCAACACATTTTATTTTGAGTACATGCTATGTGGAAATCACCAAACCAGGCACTGTGAATGATTTCAAGCTGCATAAGAGATGGAATGAATCTTGTCTACATGTAATGAAAACATTCAGAGGAAATGTGTGGACAGAGAGGCATGGATGTTGAGAGGCAGGAATGAGTGCTTCTAGGATCTGAGACCCAGGAATGGTCTCAGGAAGGATGTGCAATTTGATTATGACTTCAAAGGGATGAGAGGGGAAGAAAACTTAGCTGGAGAAATGGAATCAGTACCACACAGGGTTCTTAAACTCAGTCCAAGAGTGGTGAGTGGTTCTGTGTAGGTGGGACACAGTATATGCAGAGGAGTAGTGTGGATCAGCTGATGAGCTGGCCTGGGCAGTGCTGAGCTCAGGAGGTGGGATGGGCTTTGTCAGGTGGAGAGCCATGGAAGATGTTTTGGTGGTGGAAGGGTTGTGCCTTGAGTAGACTGTTCTTGAGGACTGTTTGGCTCTTGTGTGTGGACTGAGTTGACAGGAAGATAGTTGAATAATTGAGAGAGCTTTGAAGTGTCTGGATGTTACTTAAGATCCTAAGTAGGTTGTGGCTTTGCAGAATTCAAGAGACTGATAAGATGGGTGGTGATTGGTTATCAGAGTTTAGGCTTGCTTGCTTTTAGCACTTATGGTATGCCAGCCACTGCTAATTCAGGTCTTTGTGTGTTCAGTTATTATACCTGTTTTGCATTGAGGAGACTAAGACTTGGGCTGGGGATGTGGCTCAAGTGGTAGCGGGCTCTCCTGGCATGTGTGCGGCCCGGGTTCGATCTTCAGCACCACATACAAAACAAAGATGTTGTGTCTGCCGATAACTAAAAAATAAATATTGGAATTTCTCTCTCTCTCTCTCTTTCTCTCTCTCTCTCTCTCCCCCTCTCCCACTCTCTCTTTAAAAAAAAAAAAAAAGACTTGGACTAAGAGAAATCTTTTTATGTCTTCCTCCTGTGCTGCTGCTTCTCTTCCATTTAGATGGTTCTGGTAATTTCTCAGTTTTCCTTCACCCGCATCTCCCATCTTCTCTCTTGTCCAAGCCCACTGCTGTCTCTTTTATTAGGTCTTCATCTCTTCAAAACACGACAATGTTGGGATACTTTTCAGGTCATCATTAGACTCTAGCATTGCTGAAACATAAATGAGGTCATGTCTTTGTGTCTGTATGTATAAAAAGATGCTTCTTCATTGTCTGTGGGTGGAGTGGGGGAGGCTCTTAGTGTAGTCTTATCCCTTAGATAGATTTGGTTTGTTCCCTGCCCCCAGGCGCCATGTTCCTGTTTGGCTCTGTGTCTTTGCATGGGTAGCTTCTTCCTTTTCTCTCCATCATGAATTTCTCATCATTCTTCAGCACTCACACAGATCACTGCATCTGTGATGCCACTGGCAAGTGGGCTCTTTATTCCTTCTTCTTAGGCTACAGCGCATCATATTTTATTTAATTACTTATCTCACACCACAGTTTTCAAAACTGTTTTGAGGCAAACTTATAAAAATGCACGTAGCAGTGAAAAAATGAATGAGCATATAAGAGCAAATAGACTACTAGGGTAGAAAAATAAAGCCAAGAAAAAGTATGGAACTACATTCCATCATGCCCTTCAGATTTTGCTTTAAACTTCCTGGTCACAGCAAAGGGGAAAGAAACATGAAATGTTACGTCTCCCAGTGACCGTCAGATGAGATAGGCAGTTGCTCCAGAGAAGAGCTTTGCCGGTCACTGAGAATCGGGCTGTGTCTGGGGTCAGTGGGAAGGTGGAGGTGGCACAAGTCTTCAGCATGCATGGCAGGATCCAAGAAGCAGCTTCCCAGAGACCTCGATGGTTCTGTATGGCAGGACACCAGGTCACAGTTCAGTAAAAGCAGTTTTATAAAAGCCAGGACTGATGGTAGGCCACAGGTTTTTGTTGGTCAGTCTTAATCCAAATATAAAATGTCATGTAGCCAAAGGAACAATACTTACCACACTTTTGATGTATATTTATTTACTACCCCCTGCCAGACGGTCATCTTGTCACAGGCAGTGATCATATTTCTCTAAGGTTTGATCAGTGGGTAAGGAAAGGAAGAACATTGATGAATGAGATTTGTCCAGGAATCATCATGGTGCTCCACACTGAATCATAGGAGCTCAAAAAGTCGGGTTCGTATCTGCCATCCAAGAGCTACAAATAAGTCATCATCAGCTTTCTTTACTATTTTAGGCATAGACCTGCTTCTGAGGCCGTTTTCAGCACCAAGTACATCAGCTGAGTGAAGCAAGATAACTACATCCCAGCCAGTCTGCTTCCGAGATTCAAAAGAAAGCCTCTAAAATAACTTAATTTAGCTTAATTTAGTTTAATTTTACCTTTGCCTGTTGCATTTAGGACTAAGAAGATAATAATCTGAATATATTATTCTGATCAAAAAAGAAGTTAAATATGCATTTTCAAGAGAAAAGCAAAAATAGCAAATTCATTCATTGAAAATGTCAGTTGTTCCAAAATAGACCTTCTGGGCCGGGATAATATAATACCTTTCTTTTTCTCACTGCTGCTTTGTGTTTCTTTGTATACACAGGAACTTGACAAAGAACTCCCAGTGCTTCAACCATATTTTGTCAATGACCCTGGAGAAGCTGGAGTGAGGGAAGCTGGCTTAAGAGTCACATGGCTGGGACACGCCACGCTGATGGTGGAAATGGATGAACTCATATTTCTCACAGATCCTATCTTCAGCTCTCGTGCTTCTCCATCGCAGTACATGGGTCCAAAGCGATTCCGTTTTCCCCCATGCACAATAAATGAACTCCCCCGAATAGATGCAGTCCTTATCAGCCACAACCACTATGACCACCTGGACTACAGTTCTGTCATTGCTTTGAATGAGCGATTTGGTAATGAGTTGAGATGGTTTGTGCCTTTGGGTCTCCTCGACTGGATGCAAAAATGTGGCTGTGAGAACGTGATTGAGCTGGACTGGTGGGAGGAGAATTGTGTCCCTGGCCACGACAAGGTCACCTTTGTCTTTACACCTTCCCAGCACTGGTGTAAAAGGACCCTAATGGATGACAACAAGGTTCTCTGGGGAAGCTGGTCTGTCTTGGGGCCTTGGAATCGATTTTTTTTTGCTGGAGATACTGGTTATTGCCCTGCTTTTGAAGAGATAGGAAAAAGGTTTGGACCTTTTGACCTTGCTGCTATTCCCATAGGAGCTTATGAACCAAGGTTTGTAAATTTCCAAAGAAAACACTTCGGCTGCATGATAAGTTTAGAAATTTAAAGGATATGATTTTTGTGAAACTGTGTAATGGTGAGCTTTGTTATACATTGATGGGCTTTGTGGGTCAAATTCAGTTAGATATTATTAAATTTCAAATATTTTAATCATAGGATAGCCTTTATGTAATTATTCCAAATCAAGAAGGAGGGCGTAAAGAAATAACATACCTCATGCGAAGTTCATGTACCATTCCAACTAAAGTTAAACTTGTAAGCCAGCAATCAAACCTAACTCTTGTTCTTTCTTTCACATGGAATATTCTTTCTTTTTATAATTACTTTTCACTCCATGATTGGAACGCACCAATCCCTTGTCCTATAGCTCTCCTGAGTGGAGCAGAGAGAAAGCCAGAGCTGGCCTGTGGCATTTCAGCCTTTTAGTCTGCCCTAAAGTGTGTGTGGTCATGATGTCACACTGCTCTCCGCTCACCCTTCAGCCACTGTGTCCTCATCACTTACTTCCAGAGCAGCTCTCGGCCACATATGGCTGGAGACCTAGGAGAACATCTGCATTTTCCTTAACACTGTATGTTTAGGGAAAAGAGAAGTGATTTCAGTAACTTTGTTACTATCAGTAACAAAGTAAGGGCTAATTTAAATTTTTTTATTTAAAAAATGATTTTTTTTGCATTTTACAGTGCTTGTATACATGGGTACAACTGCATTTTATTTAGGTGATCCAACAAATAGAACACCTAGTGTTTCTCTAACACATAGATGGAATATATGAATCTTATCTTTTGTTTCCATCTGGTTTTGTTGAACTTATTTGTTAACCTTTTAAGTTCACTAACTCCATTTTTCCCTATCTTTATTAACATTTATTTTTCCCTTTTATGTTTTTTTTTTGCTAGTTTACTTAATTTGGTGGCTAGATTTTAATGTTTTAGTGCCTGATAATTATTAAAATTATCATAAATCAATATTAGTGCTTGAAATTCACTTCTCCACTTAAATAATTCTAGTTATAATGAAGCCTCTGAAAATATCAACCTGTGTTTTTTTAAGAACTGTTCTAATCAATTTAAAAAAAAATTTTTATAGTTGTTGATGGAGAGCATGCCTTTATTTATTTTTATGTGGTGCTGAGGATTGGACCAAGTGCCTCACACATGCTAGGCAAGCACTCTGCTACTGAGCTACAGCCCCAGCCTGGTTTAATCAATTTTGTATGATAATGATCTTTACTCAGTACATGTTCTTAAAATAACTGAATATTTCTAATTTATAATTATGAGAGTAAGTCTTCATAAATAGCAATGTACATATTAGATATGTGCTTGTGTTGATAAACCAAACCATATACACATTTACCTACTTCTTCCTTCCTGCTTGCATTGGGCCATGTTTATTTCTAAGACAGGAGAAGGGCAGGGAAGATGTTATTTGCTGTAGAGAGTTAAATGTGGCAGCCTATTCTGGGTAGTTCATTTCTCTGATCAGTACTAACAGTTTCAGAAATAAAGTATCCATTCAACAAACTTGAGAGTGCTCTACAAACGTGATATGATTACAAAAACGACTTTCAGTCATGTGCTGGGAATGCTTCGTCCTTACTTTTGAGATCTCTTGTCACCAAGTCTGTTGGGATTTAAAATTTTAATTGTTTCATCGTAGTCAAAAATTTAAACTTATTTCAGATAGACATTAGAATAGAAAGGAATTTCTATCCCTTTCATTTGCAGTAGGATCTTTCAAAAAATCAATAAAGACGCACCCCCCAAAACTGTTTTCATCTTGCCCTGAATTCTGTGCCAGGAGATATGGCAGAACAGTGCTTCTGTAATCTTCTGTTGGGGAGAACACAGTGGCTTTGTTTTGGGGCTCTCTTAGGACCTAGCAACTGCTGGCGGTAAATAACACCCTTTGGCTATTACAGATGGATGGATTCCTACATGATGTTCCCTGAACTGCAGAAGCACCTGTGCTGAATCCAGGCTCATTAGTTTTTCGGTAGCATTAGTAGGCCCTGGTGGATCAGGTAGACAGTGTTGTTATTCCTCCACTAAACTGATGGCTTGAAAAGCAAAAGGTTTGCTTGTAGATAATATGTTTTTTCCTAATATAGTAATTTTTTTTTTCCTGAAAGTTGATTTTTGTCAACTGTACTTTTCTGGGAGAATTTTATGGAATAGCTAGTATGCTTCATGCTTTTATAAACATTGTTTTTGTTAATCCTTGTAATAACCTTTACCCAGAATAGGTCTAAATTTATACTTAACAAACAAGGAAATGGAAGTTCAGAGAATTAGAAGGGACCTTCTAAAGGCCTTCCAGGAACTGCAAGAGCTGGAATTCACAGCCAGGCCTGCCTCCTGCCTGGGTCCTTGTTCTTTGCAACCTTTCAGTGCTTCTGCATTATCTCGAATCATTCGTCCATTACGCAGGCCTCCCTTCTTGTGAAACCAAACACCTCAATGTTCAGTTTTATGAAATTTAGATAAAATATCTTGAATACTAATGGGATTTTATTTTTTACTCCTGCTGTTTAAATTTTATACACTTATTTTTGTTTACTTTTCACTTCAGCAAGTTTAAAAGAAATTTGTTTTCATAGGCTATCCAGATTCTTTTGCCATTTGAATTTTGGTTTTCAGTTCTTTACTCATTATTCAGTTTCTTTGGGTCATATCCAGGATTTCAAAATATCTACTTTTTAAAATAATAAGTCATATCTTCAGAATGTATCATCAGTAAAATAAGGATATACATGAAATAAAAGTTTACTGTTCAGAGAGGAGTTTTGAGATTCATGTATTGTGTAGCAATTTGTACAAGAAAGATGTTTGCTTTGTTTCTTTTCCTCCAGCAGAAAAGTACTGAGTGGAGTTGTTTTTGTTTTTTGTTTTTTTGGTACTGGGAATTGAACCCAGGGGCACTGGGTCACACCGCTGCCCTTTTTTTTTTTTTTTTTTACTTAAGAGTCTTGCTAAGTTGCTGGGGCTGGCTTTGAACTTGAGATCCTCCTGTTTCAGCCTCCTGAGCTGATTACAGGCTGGTATGCACCACTATGCCCGGCTAGAATTATTTTTGCCTACTGTGATTTTTTTTTTTTTTCCTGTTCAGAATTTTTTTTTTAATTTTTTTTTTTTTTTTTAAACAATTAAGCTTTGACCTCCAGGCTTGGTTTCTGGCTCATTCTGTTTGTGTTGCTTATGTTCTATACCAGCAGTTTTCAACTTTGATTACATATTGAACTTATTTGGGAGACTTTTGAAAATGTTAATGCTCATGTCCCACCCAGAACAATCAAAACAGAAGCACTGAGGGCACAGGCTGAGTAGCAGTACTTACTTAAAGTTCCTTTGTAAGTCCAGGGCCTGATAAGTGGTTGAGGTACCACTAGTGTATGTTGCTGATTCTTTTGGCAGTTTAGCCCAATTCTTAGGTGTACTAATTAAAAATCAAGTGAAGAATAGGGAGGCAAAGTCAGAATACCCAAACTGAGATGATTCTTATTTCTCAAACAACCCACAGGTCTGTGTGGAGTCTTAAAGTCTGATTAGATAAAGCAAAAATTAGAATCCAGAGTGTATTTGAAGACCAGAATTAATAAATTGCTGTGTTTTATCAGGTGGTTTATGAAATACCAGCATGTAGACCCAGAAGAAGCTGTCAGGATTCACATCGATGTTCAAACAAAGAAATCTGTGGCAATTCACTGGGGAACTTTTGCCTTAGCAAATGAGGTGAGTTTGATCATGATAAAAATAACTTTGATGATGTGTGTGACCACTGATGGGATTCAGGCATCACTGTCTCCTAGCAATGCTTTCAGAAACAGACTATGGAGTCAGACCCTTTGCAGTCATCACAATCATGACATGAATTAGGGTGTTAAACCTTGTTAATCAGTAAAACAATATTCACATACAGTGAAAAACCCTTGTTGCAAGTTATTTTTTTGGACTACTAATCATTGTAGTTAATGAAGCATGTGTTTGTATAACCAAAAATCTGTGTACATAGAGTGGGGAGTAGAAAAATGAACCATCATGTCTCCCCCCTCAAGGCAGCTTCCATTCCTGTGGAATATAGAAGATGTATACGTGATACAGATATTGGAAGGGGAAATGGCTGTAATGTGGGACAGATTCATTGGTCTCAGAAAATCATGGGTGATCCTCAATAATCAGAATAGCATGGAAAAATGACATTTGAACTTGCTTATGAGAAGGCAAGAGGAAGTTATTTCCAGAGGGGGATCAAGGGCACAGCATAGGCCTGGAGGCAGCAAGTACAGGGAATGCTGAGGAACCTTTAAGCAGGACAGTAGATGGCATGAAGGGCAATGGGAGAAGTAAGGCTAGACTGACATTGTGGAATCTTCTAGAAATATGTTGTCATATTTGGTTTAGTGTCTGCTGTGTACCAGGCGTTGGGGTAACTGGTTTTTTTCCTACACTAAACCACAAGAGCTGATTTTTTTTTCCTTAAGGGAGCTGAACCCTAGAACTCTGCTGTTAACATGGATTCTGGGATCAAGGAAGGGATAGCTTAAAACTTTTTATTCTTTTCTGGATCCAAGCCTGCCCTAAGGAAACTTTAGAAAGGGATGGATGGAATGTGGCTTCTCTTTACTTTCTGTGGCATCTTCCATATCCTCGGGCCTCTCTGCAGGTACCCACGGTTTCTTGCTGGTTTTGGCTCTCCCCAGTACCATTTCTGGCCTGCCTTCTTCCTGGATACATCTTGTTTCAAAATTTCTTAGTACCTTGATTGCTTGTTTCCCACCCCCTCAATCAGAATTCCCAATCCTGAGTCGTGATGTAGCTACTCTTAGCCATGCTGTCAGGGGATGGAATAGAATGAGTGAATAAATGAATAACTTTTTGGGGTACAGAGGATGAGTGAATGAGGAAGGAAGAGAGAGGAGTTTCATATACCATTTATAATAGGTATCAGTGTCTTAGATGAAGTTATAGTATTTTATTAAACCTGGGCAAAGAAATGAATCAAGATTAACTCCTAGACTTTTAGCTTGAGTGATTGGGTAGGCAGTTGTGATCTTCATTGATACATGGGCAAGATAAGAAGAGGATCAAAACCTCAGTCTGCAATTTATTGTGTTAGTCACATATCTGTGATTGGCACAGTTGGGTGTGGTGGCATATGTCTGTGAACCCAGAGACTCCAGAGACTGACACAGGAGTTTGAGGCCAGCCTCAGCAACTTAGTGAGACTCTGTCTCAGTAAATAAAAAGTATCCGGACTGGGTGTGGTGGTGCATACCTGTAATTCCAGCAACTTGGGAGGCTAAGGCTTGAGGATTCCAAGTTCAAGGCTATCCTTAGCAATTTTGTGAGGTCCTAAGCAACTTAGTGAGACCCAATCTCAAAAAGCAAAAAGGGCTGGGATGTGGCTCAGTTATTAAGTGCCCCTGAGTTAAATCCTAGTACCCAACAAAAGTGTTGGATATAGCTCAGTGGTATAGCACCCTTGGGTTCAGCACCCCAGTACTGAGAAAAAGAAGAAAAAAAGAATTATTGTGTTATTCAGCCTTCATGTGTTATTCCTGTTATAAATCTAACCTCCATCTTTATTTATTAATGAAACATATAATAAAAACTCATAGCTTTTAATCCTTTGAAAGTTGTTCACAGTTAGGGCTGGGGCTGTGGCTCAGTGGCAAAGCACTTGCCTTGCACATGTGAGGCACTGGGTTCCACCCTCAGCACCACATAAAAATAAATAAAATAAAGATATGGAAAAAAAAAAGATTAAATCCTAAAAAAAAGATAGTTGTTCACATTTTGATGTTAGTTGAATAACACTAGACAAACATGAGTTTATTAAATTATAAAGTAGATGAGATTCAAAAATTTCATATATAGCAACATCCAGTTTACCTAAAATATGGTATGTGGATTTCCTAGAACATGTGTTTAAGCCTCAAAACATTAAATCATTAGTTTTGATGGAAACAGACTTCAAGTATTATATAATATGTAAGTTAGCTTTCTAGTTGACCAGGGTCTTGACTGTAGAAGATTCTAAAATAGGGATCCCTTTTAGAACTTAGTTGTTGTCTAGGACTGCTTGCCTTTCCTTTATCGAATCCAGAATGCTGGGAACTCTGCTTTCCCCACAATCTCACTGATCTCTGATTTACCACCTTGCTGTTTGCTCCTATGGCTGTGGGGCATTTTTATCTCCTTTGTGGACTAAAGTGCTTGGATTAGGAGACTGTTATCAGTTACTCAGAAGGCTTTTTTTTTTTTTACCTAATTCCAGGGTTATCTTCTAGATGGTTGAAATAGATAAGAATTAACCTATGAAAAAACTCAGAACAATATTGCTAAACCTAGGCAGATTAAAGGCAAAGGATCTACTCCCAGCTAAAACATCAAAATCCACACTAAATCTACATACTACATCATGTGCCACACTAAAGTTATATATAGCTTAATAAATAAATTATCAGTGTAAAGTGATGGTGTATATGTATTGTTGGGGTGAAAAGAATTTAACAAAAGTAGTTATTTTTCAATGAAAGAATTTGATCATTTTGAAATATTTTCTAAAAAATTGCAAGGGAAATTTCTTGACTTAGGTTATTATTTAGTTAAATTCTATTGGCAATATATTAGTGATCTCCTTTCTATATGTATAAAATAGACTAAAAGTGGGTTCCTGTTTTGGGCCATCCATTAATTGGTTATCTTCAGTAGTCAGTGGAAAGATATTCGTAACCCTTTAAAGAGAGTCATACATGAACAAGTGAGCAAGGGGGGAATATTGCATATGCATTTTAAGCCTCAAGAAATGTTTTGTGGCTTTCCTTGTTTGTCACTGGCTGTCCCTTCTTAGTCTCTCTTGGTAGCTTCTCATCTCCCTCCCCCTAAACATTGAGGGCTGCAGGTATTAGTCCTTGGACCTCTTCTTTTCTAATTGTTTTCTCCTTTAAGGATCTCATCCAGCCTTGTAGCTTTAAGTACCATCTACCTGCTGTGCCTCTCTAGCTCATATCCCTCCTTCCTCCACCATCATCCACATTTATATATCTATAGTTGTCTCTTGACATCCCCCCCTTGGGTCTGAAACTAAACTTTCTGATCTTCCTTCAAACTTCTTTTACATCTCAGTAAATGGCAACTCTATCTGCCCAGTTATTTAGGCTAAAATCTGAACGTCTCTTTCTCACATCCTTCTCCTGGTACCCCCTCCCCACCCTGCCTACATACAATCAACTTAACATTAGACTGTATTCAGAATTTGACCACTTCTTTCCTCCTTCATTGCTACCACTCTGCTCCTTACATCTGCTTAACACTATAGAGGGCAGTGACCTTTAGAACTCGAATCAGATTATGATACTCCTTTTTTCACACCTTTTCTAATTGAAGTTAACAGGTCTGATGGTTGGGGGGAAAGCCTTCGAATAAAGGAAAAAATAGCTATTATGCGATGTAGAGACTTAGACCAAATGAGAAATAACCAGCTGGGCACAGTGGTGGAGCATGCCTGCAATCCCAGTGACTTGGGAGGCTGAGGCAGAAGATTTGCAAATTTGGCCTGGGCAATTGAACAAGATCCTGTGGTAGAGCACCTCTGGATTCAATCCCCGATACTACAATAAACAAACAAAACACCACCAAAAACTAATGACATGATTTAGCTTTATACTTTTAAATTTATTTATAAATAACTATTTTATTCAATATTCAGTGGACTCGCCTTATTTGGAAAATATTTGGGTGAAAACATTCTGGAACATACTGTGTGCCGTCTTCCCTTTTTATTGAGCTATGAAAAATTGAGGAAATCAAGGGACCTAGGGAAACTTACCCACTGTATCTCTTCTCTGGGGGTCCTTTTTCAGTCTGCAGACTAGTTTCTACATGTGGCTAGAGGTTTTGATTCTATCAGCCCTTCTCCAGCCAAAAATATTTGCTCTAGCATTCTCTCTCTCTCTCTCTCTCTCTCACACACACACACACAGATTTTTATATGCTTCAAAATGTTAACATTCAATTCTCTATACCATTTTTAGCAGATTCCACAATAGATTGAAATTTTAACAAATCAGACTTCATATAATCTTATTGGTGTTCAGTCTAAGGTGGCACCACATTTGATATACAGTTGTTTAGATATATTAATTTCTATTAGTAGACATTTCTGTTGATATCATAATGACTCAGACTGTATTAACAAATACGATTGACTCATTTGCTAATAATTCAATTAAAAAGGGAATTGTTTTATGAAGGATTTGTTGGTTACTTCAGTTTGAAGTTTAATTTGAAATATCCCCCAACCATGTGTTATTAATTTCTTTTTCTTCATTCTGCCCTTTGCCAGCATTACTTAGAGCCTCCAGTGAAACTGAGTGAAGCTCTAGAAAGATATGGACTTAAGACTGAAGATTTTTTTGTCTTGAAGCATGGAGAATCAAGATACTTATATAACGAGGATGAAAACTTTGAATATGAGCACAGGAGCTTTTGATGAAAAAAGCATCATTTGATGTAAATTTGAAGGCAAATGACAAGACTAAGCAAGTCATGAATATTATGATATTTACACTTCTGCAAGTGTTTTATGTTTTGTGTAATAACTTGCTATGATGACTAGCTTATATAAAAGAAACGTTCAGGAGTGAGTCATTTAAATAATGAGTTGACAATGTGGATTTAAAAATCTTATATTAATGGTATAACCAATGCAATAGAAATTATTTACTAAAGCATTATACTTTAGCGGTGGTAGAATTTTCTGAGATAATGAAAAACTTGATACATTTGTTTTTTAATTTTTTCAGGACCTCTACAAGGTGAATCAAGGTTTTATAGTTATCTAGATTTTTTTAGACGCCTGTATACATACCCTCATATCCCCCCCCCCCCCCCCGTACCAGGGATTGAACTTGGGGGCATTCAACCACTGAGTCACATCCTCAACCCTATTTTGTATTTTTATTCAGAGACAGGGTCTCACTGAGTTACTTAGCGCCTTGCTGTTGCTGAGGCTGGCTTTGAACTCAAGATCCTCCTGCCTCAGCCTCCTGAGCTGCTGGGATCACAGGCACTCATATCTTTCTAATATTCACATGGTAATAAGTGATAAAATCGATTCCCACATGCTTAAAAACATAGCAGTTCTTGTTCTATCAAGACTAGCTTATATGTCAGATGTTAAAGTGATTTATTTTATTAAGCATACAAATACAGGATTTGGGACAAGTTATCATTTTAAAAGATTTTTAAAATTGATTGTGGCAAGATATACATGATCTTAAATTTCTTGTGAAGCCATAACCACCATGAACTTAAATTTTTAAAAGAGGGGTATATTTTACTGCACCTCTACAATCTCCAAATTAAAAGCTCTTACTAGGGTAGAGGAAGGGATATGAGAAATGATTTATGAAATTTTCTATTTTTAATATAAAAGTGAGACCTTCTACTAAGCACAAATATAGCTACAGTGAAATATTTTACAGATGAGATAAATGCAGATCTTAAATGTGAATAGGCCATAACACTTTGAATTAAATTTTACTTTCTCTATATACATCCCCCCCTCTTAGTTCTAACTCTAATGTATCAGTAAGATTTATTTTATAAGTACTTTTGTTTTACATGATTCAGATGTCATATATTTTTATATTAAATGACTTATAAGCATAACTGTACCTTTTATTAAGGCAGTGTGGCATACCAGTGGTAAACAGAGATTTCTGGTTGTTGGCTGACCTGAGTTTTAGTCTTAAATAAGGCACTGTATTCACTTGATTGTTCTGAACCTTCTTAAAGGAGTGAGCTGTATTAGGTACTAGTTGAGGCCTATTCTGTGTTCCTTATCTGTAGACATAGTAAAATAAACTTTATCCATACAAAATAATTAGAATAGGTTTTCTACACCAAATATACAAACTTACAGTGCTCTATAATTTGCACATATGTATGCATGCCAAAAATTGCCACTTAATCTGAATGTTAATCCTCTCATTTCATCATGAATTTTCTGTGTAACCTGAAACAAATCACCTATGCTCACTGTGCCTAAGTTTCCTCACATGTAACAAGAGGATAATTTTCTCCTACCTCCAACATAAGTAGGATAAATATTTTTTTTTTATTATTTTTGGTACCAGGGATTGAACCCAGGGGCGCTTAACCACTGAGCTACATCCCCAGCCTAAATATTTTTAAAAGCACTTTTAAAATCTAAGGGAGAAAACGATTTCCTAAAATATCCCTGCCTAATACAGATAGGTACATTTGAAAGCTGAAAATAGGCTAATGTTTTTTGATAATATATTGTTCATGTTGCATATATATGCTTACATATTAGGACACCGAACAATCCACTCATTTTGTAGATTTGGAGAGTAATAGCAAATATAAGCGATCTCTATCAAAATTTAATATTTTTATCTAAAAGGTTCAAATCAATCAAGGGGAAATGTGTACACAATGTATATGTATGTATAAAGTATGTGAATGTATGATTTGGGGGCACAAAGCACAAAAATTCCCCATAAGAAAAAAGAAACTTAAGAAAAAAACAACATAGACTTTTTCACTCTAAGCAGATGTGAATCCAGATGTTAGGGTTATGGTGGGTTAGCTTGAGGCATATTGCCCTAACACTAGTCAGCATTCTTGTGGTCATCTTCCTTGAACTGAAATTCATCTCTTACCTCTCTGCTATGAGCAATCCAAACATATCTTAGATATTTCTTTTCCATGAATGAACGGCCTTAATATTATTTTTGTATTCACATGTACTGTTTAACTCAGAGTCTCTAAGCACTTTAAATTGTATTCTAGTGCCATTTAATTGAGCCAGCCTTATTTTTCTAGGCTTCCCTGCTTTGATTTTTATTGCCATTCATCTTTTTTCCCCACATTTTTTTTTTAAATTGGTGCATTACCATTTGTGTTCTTTTTACATTGACATTTTTATTCATTAAGTACATCAAATGTCATTGTTCCTTGTCACAACTACCCTATTGAGTGGTTTCCAGTTTTTCACTTATCTACATTTTGAAGGGTTTATGTGCAAATGAAAACAAATTTTGAAAAATTAGACAAATCCATTCTCTATCCTCAGTCTAGTCTGATATACATAATACTTTCTGATATACATTATTGTACTTTAAAATCTATCTTATAAGTTTCATGTTCTTTGATTAGCAAGCCTCCTGAGGATGCTTACTTTGATATACTTTACTGCCTAAGGGTAGGTCCACTGGTGAGACATACCTCCTAATAAAAGTGATGGTGTGTTGGGTGTGGTAGTCCATGCCTGTCATCCCAGCTACTTGGGAGGCTGAGGTAGGACTATGGGTTCCCGACCAACCTGGGCAGCTTACTGAGACCATGTCTCAAAAATAAAAAAGTGGGGATGTAGCTTAGTGGTAGAGCATCCCTGGGTTTAATCCTGAGTAACCACTCCCACAACGCATAAAAGGTAAAGATGTGATGACCTATATAGAAAAGATCTATTTGTATATATTTATTATGAATTCTTCCGAAACAGTTAAAAGTTACTCCTCTTCTTTAGCATGTTGATATTTCATAATTAATGCTGTGATCTCTAGGAAGTGTCATTACTTATTCAGACTAGTAAGAGAGGAAAAGAAGACAGGGAGATTTAGAATCTGATGTGTCTAAAGCACATTAAATACAAATCCTATCCTGGTTTTTAATATGTGCACATTTTGAACACAGCTTCATTTATTAGGGAAACAGATTTTTAGAAAAACTGTTACAAAGACATGTGCCTTTTGGGGAATAATACCTGTGTTGTGTCACCAATATGAAAGTATTATTCTTAGCTATCATATTATGTTACTACTCTAGCCCATTGGGAACTCCCATTTTTCATCTTATATTGCATCCTTTTTCTACTGAAAATATTTCTTCAAAGGTTGATTTTTATATCAGGATAAACCTGATAACACATATTTTTCTGTTTAAGGATTTGTGACTTCCTGTAGCAACAGGTTTATATCCATATATTTGCAAATGAAACTTAAAGCACTCTCAAAGCTTTTGTCTTAAGTACACAAGTGTAAAGCTTCTGCTTGCCTATTGATTTACTTAATGCTAAGCATGATGAGGACTATGAACTTGAGTATTACAGAAGCTGGCTGCATTCAGATATATCAAATTGTTAATAAATACCTTATGGGATAAAAATACTATTTAAATAGATAATAACTAATAAATCTTTATATTGTAATTCCAGACAAGTAAAACATGGATAAAATTAATAAAGTACTGTCAAGGGAAGAAAATATGTACAGACTTGTGACTTTTTATTAAAAAAAAAACAACTATACAATTTCTGATCAAAGTAAAAAAAATTCAAACAGTAGAAATAGGTATGCATAGGTTAAGTGACATTCCCATATCCCAGCCTCGCTCCTGGAGTTTATAAGCATAAATATTTTGCATTTAAAAACCATTCATGGGATCATAATGTACATACAGTCTTTTACATGTACTTTAAAAGCAACCATATTTCATGGATGTCTTTCTACAGCAGCACATTCAGGTTCACTTAATTTTTCTCTTTTTTAAAAGACTGGCTAATTGATTTAACCAGTTGCCTACTGGATGGACATTTTGATTGATCCCAGTATTTTACATGTAATATCTTTACAATTAGCTTACTGAAGGGGAGTGGGTGAATACTAAAAAACATTTTCCCCTAAAAGTTTACATTTTTCATTATCTAGAAATGATGAGAATAGATTTTTTGGGGGGCAGGAATCAGACCCAGGGGCACTTGACCACTGAGCCACATCCCCAACCCTTTTTAATAGTTTTATTTAGAGACAGGGTCTCGCTGAGTTGCTTAGGGCTTTGCTAAATTGCTGAGGCTGGCTTTGAATTTGTGATCTTCTTGCCTCATCCTCACAAGCCACTGGGATTACAGGCATGTGTCACTGTGCCTGGCTGATGAGAACAGATTCTGATAATTAAAAGACCTTTGAAAGCAGTATGGCTGGGTTGGCAGGTGGACTTGAGAGCTCAAGATCTCATTGCTATTAAAAAAACAGGGCCATTCTATGGTAGTTCAGAAACAATGAATTAATCACAAACCAATGCTGTCTCATAAAAGTAACTGCAAATCAGTTCAGAATAGAGGGGGCCAGGTGTGATGGTGCATACTTGTAATCCCAGTAGCTTGGGAAGCTGTGGCAGGAGGGTCACAAATTCCAGGCTAGCCAGCAACTTAGAGAAACTCTATCTCAAAAAATAAAAAGAAAAAGAAAAGCAGGGGGTGGGGTACTGGGGATGTGACTAAGTGGTTAAGCACTCTGGGTTCAATTCCCAATACCCCCCCCCCCCCCCCCAAAAAAAAAAGAAGGTTACTGTTTATGTAGAGGAAATAACTAAAATATCTCAGCATATAGTGAAATAACTGGTCTTAGTTCAAGCTCTTATATTCACTTGGTATCAATAAATGGTCCAAAATAAGCCTGAAAACCATAGCAAGTTATACAGGTTGAGTATTCCTTATCTGAAATACTTGAGAACAGTATTTCAGAATTTGGAATTTTTCATACTTTGGAATATTTGCATAATAGACTTACTGGTTAAACATTCTTAATCCCCAAACCCCAAATCCGAAATGCTCCAGAATCTCAAATTTTGAGCATTGTGTCAGATTAGAGATGTTTCACCTGTACTGTGTTAAAGATGAAAAGTGATATTTGCTGCTCACATTCAATAGCTGAAAGGATCCCTCTATAAGGAAAATGGAAAATAATTTTTGGTGTATTAACTTCCAGACTGCATTACTCTTTGGAAAAATATGATCAACCAATCAGAATTTTGGTATTATTGTTAGAGCCTTTTCTTTCACATCCACATCATGATGATAAACTAGAGCTCTCATCTTCTGGGCACATTCTTCTCCATATAACAGGAAAAACAATGAACCTTTAGAGAAAGGAGGCTGAGTAGCTAACTGACCTTCCATTCTGAGGCAGTTATTTATATTTTGAAATAGTATGAGTACTCGAAGAAGAATCTCCTTAGCTACATGGCCGTCATAAAGGGAAAGGAATGATGAATCCACCTGGAAGAGGAAGCAGTATCACTGTCATATTTTAACACTGCATTGAATATTTTACATTTTTAAAATGCTGTCACAGAAAATTAACCCTGACTGAATAACTTACACATGTAAAATCTTAGGCATCCTTATGTTATATACTAATGAGAAGAGGTTTTGTGGGCTGGGGATGTGGCTCAAGCGGTAGCATGCTCGCCTGGCATGCGCGGGGCGCTGGGTTCGATCCTCAGCACCACATAAAAATAAAATAAAGATGTTGTGTCCACTGAAAACTGAAAAATAAATATTAAAAAAAAATTCTCTCTCTTCTCTCTTTAAAAGAAAAAAGAGAGAAGAGGTTTTGTGTTTTAGCTAAAGAATGATTTCCTTGGAATCCCAGAATGTAGTAATTTGAAGAAACATCCATATTCTTTTTAGGATCCATCATACAGTTTTCATGAGAACTCATTAACTCATCAAATATTTACTGCTCACACCAACAAAATCAAGAATTTTGGCATAATTTTAGAGAACAGGGATGAGCAAATGAACCAGATGGTTCCTTTTCTGCAGGAAATGAACTCTATTCTATCTTAGCACCACTTCTGCTTCCTTCAGAACACTCAACAGCTTTTAAATTATCTTGTTCATTTATTACATATTTTTGTCTCCACTACACCATAAGCTCTAGGATAACACACGTACTCACTGGTATGTCATGGATTTCAGCCCCACATTTATCACATACATTCTGGGGATTCAGTATTGCTAAGGCACATGTGCACAGAAAGAAACCAAGTATAAAAGATATGTGATGTCATAGTGTACCCTACCCAAAATTGGGCTGACAGAAAAATTATAATTTATTATTCCTACGAAGAACCTTTAAAACTTATTTTTAAAAGTAAAATAAATATGCTTGTTACAGAAAATTAGGAAATTCATGTATACAAAGAATAATAATAAAGCAACAACTTAATATTGTTCTTCAGAGATAAGCTCTGTGAACATTCTGTGATAAATCTTTCCAGATTTATTTGTCCAAATCTCATAATTTATAAGTGTATTTACAAAATAAGTATGTAATCTATTTACTTGGGCTCTGAGTAGTCCCTCTGTCATGGCTGGGTTTTCAGACAAATTTAAAAGCAGCTTCAACACTTGAACCTGAAATAAGAATATTAGTTTATTTCAGACCAATAAACATGACTTTTCTGTCCCTACCATGTTATCTATCCTCTTACCATGTTCTCCTTAAATTCTTGCCTGTGCTTTGAGGCCTGGCTCAAATTCTCTTTATTCCATGAAGTCTCTCTCTCTGAACTCAGAACACTTGGCATCACTGTCAGCAGTTAGCAGGGAGCAGTGTTATTTTAACCTTTACTTTTCTAACTACACTATTGAGACAGGAAGAATATTGTGAATGTCTTTACAATCCCCACTCACACACACATAACACTCTTAAAATGTGGCTTCACATATGTTAAATGATTTTTATAAGAAATAAATGTGAAATATGTATAATGAAATGGGATCTTTGGAACAAATCTCTCAAAGCTTAGTTCATTTCTACTGAAAGAATGAAAAATTTTCAATAGTTTGGTTACCAAGATTAAATAAATAATATGGCCTTTTTAAAAAAATTAGGTTTTGACTTTGATATTATATTTTTATGTGAAAAATATTTTGCAATATAGGACAGTGATATAACTAGCAAACAAATGTTAATTAATAGCTGACTACATAAAATACCAGCATTCTTACCACTTAATTCTGAAAAATCAAGAATAATAATATTTAAATTCAATTTCCCTTTTAAATATTTGTAAAACTAAACTATACTTTTTTAATATTTATTTTTTTAGTTCTAGTTAGACACAATACCTTTATTTATTTTTATGTGGTGCTGAGGATTAAACCCAGGGCCTCACATGTGCTAGGTGAGCACTCTACTGCTGAGCCACAACCCCAGCCCTTATACTTTTTATGAGAGATTTGAAATTAAAACAAGAAGGAAGAGGGTACTAAAGTCAGGAAAAAGCAAAAGAAGTTCTTTTTACTAAATCTAGGCAAGAACATGGATGCTTATTTTATAAAACTTTTTGATTACCAAGGCAATAGATGTTTGTTGTAGATTTTTTTTTGTGTGTGTGCTGGAGATCAAACCCAGGGCTGCCACACATGCGAGGCAGTGATCCATAACTGAGCTACACCTTCAGTCCTAGAATAGTTTTATGTACAAAAAGGTACAAAGAAAGAAGTTCCCTCATATTTCTAAGACCAGAAATGATCTTAGATCAGTGATTACTGAAGTTTTAGTGTTTTCTTTCTGTGTTTTATGCCCATATCCTATACTGAATGCTTACAATTCCTTTGATCATGTACATACTAATTATTTGTTAAGGAGAAGGAGAAGGATATAAGGCTTTGCTTAACCTTACTTTTATCAGCAAATTGTATTTTTATAAAATTACTGCATGGGGACAAGGTAAAAACAAAAGCTGCTGTCTTAGTAGGTCACTACTAAATGGATACACAGAGATCAAGTTCTCCAAACAGATACTCTTATTAAATCATGGCCTTATAAGGTGGTTAAGTAAAGGAGATTTCTGACTCATTAATGCACTTCGGGGGGCAGGGGTCACTGTGAGATTTAATCTGTCTAACTGACTGTCTATACCAAGAATAAATGTTAGGGGGAAAACACCTGGCTCCAATGTCAGTGAAATATGAATTAGGAAAACAGGAACAAGAGGTGTTAAACAGATGGTCCTGCACCTATGACATAAGCCTGGATAAAGTCAATCAAATCCAAAAAGGCTCATGAGTAGTAAATGAGGGCAGGTATACCAGGGAATATTAAGAGCAATAGGTAATTATTATTCTGTACTAAAAGGTAATGTTGCTATCCTATGTAGAAGAGAGTTAAACAGGAAGAAAATAACATAAAATTAGGGAAAACTAGTTAAACAGGAAGAAAATAACATAAAGTTAGAGGAAAACTATAGGTTAAGGAAATATATATATATATATATATATATATATATATATATATATATAAATACATACATACTGTATTTTGGTTTGAAAAGGCAAAGTCCTGTTTTTCCCTCTTGTCATCTGTGCCATCTTGTGGTGACTATAGGACATTTATTTTAAGCTGCTAGCTTTTTCCCCCTCATTGCAGATATAGCAAGCACAGAATTTATTTTAATTAACCTTCCACTATTTGTATTTTGTTATAAATGAATGGTGTGCCCAAAAGTCATTAAAGTACAGTGAGATCAAGGCTTAAGCAAAGAAAGATTTTGAAAAAGCCACTTTGGTGGTTATTTACTAAGAAAATATCTAAAATAGATACATATGACTCCAAAATTTGATTTTTATGGGGAAACAATTTAAGATTAGTGGAAAGGTTCCCAGGTGACAAAAATAAAAAAAAGAAATAAATTCTCAGTCCCAGAGATTATAGGCAATATAATGGAAAAATAAAACATACTATTGTGATGTGATTCTTTTTGAAAGTTATAAATTGCATTAAAACACAAACTATGTCTCAGACAGATACATACAGACCCAAGGCCAGACCTGCCTGGCTCTGCACTCAACCAGAGTTTCTCCTGGGATTCTGGGTAAAGCAGCTAGAGACAGACTGAGAAGAGGTTTTTCTTGTAGTAACCACACCATGGGATAAGAAGGAAGAGTGTTTTCATGAGTCCTCATAGGTTGGAAGTCATCTTGCTTCACTGGACAGAGTGTTGATAGGAGCATGCATGTTGGAAATTGCCTGGGGATGTAGCAATATTGCTGAAAGAGGATTAACTCTTAGGTCTATATTTTTTTTATTTTTATTTTTTTGTGGGGCTGAGGTACAAGTTCTGTATCATTAAGCTACATCCCTAGCCTTTACATTTAATTTTGAATGCCTATAGGTAAATCTTGGACCAGATCTAAATAAGTTTGGCTGTGGGAAATGTGGAAAAGCCCACACAAAAACCTCAAAAACAGACCACAGTGAGGTTGTCCGATAATCACATCCTGATAACCTCAGAAATTACTGCAGCAACAGCAGGACATTAGGAGTATGGCTTCATATTTGGTCCTTCTAAAACTGTGCATTTCTCTCTCAACTATCCCAGAGAACACAGATCAATATAGTAAAACCCCAATGAGCCATCAACCTAACTTATGAGAATATTTGATTAGTCTACATTCTGTTTTATGCAGTCTTGTCTTGAAAAATGACAATGATGAGAATCATACTAACAGGGGATTTACTCAAGAAACTTCAGAGAGCCTACTTAATTCAGCCCCACCTCTGTTGCCTCCTACATCTGCAGAACTGGACAAAGTGAAGCACTGCATTATTTTTCCTACCTAATTCACTTCATTTACTACTGTTTAAAGTGGTGTTAGAAAAATTTTCTACAAACGGATGAAAAAAAAATGTTGTTAACCCTGAGGTAAGTAAAAAATTGAACTACCACTATTACTCAGATTCTTGTTAATCACAATTTTTCTATTTGTGGTTGGGGGGAGATAGCTACTTCACTTTAGTAAGAGGTAATTTCACTGATTCGCAGGAAATCTAATGAATATTGATCTACAGAAACGTGAAACAGTGAATCATTTTCACAAGTTAATTTTGCAATTCAATATTAGGGAATAAAAATAATGTACTTTCTTAGACCCAGTCAAAGCTTTTTAATAATCTTGGCTAAACATTCTCTTTTCTGAGAGACATCAACCTAACATAGATGGCCTGGAAATTCAATGTCAATCTTTTTTTTGGTACTGGGGACTGAACCCATGGGTGCATTACCATGAGCTATATCCTCAGTTCTTTTTTTTTAAAAACTTTTATACATATATAAGGTTTGTGTGTGTGTGTGCGTGCACATGTATACACACACACACACACACACACACATTTTCTTATTTGAAACAGGGTCTTGGCTAAATTGCAGAATCTAGACTAGAACTTGTAATCCTTCTGCTTCAGCCGCCTGAGTCTCTGCAGGTGCCATTGCACCTGGCTTTCAATGTCACTCTTTTTTTTTTTAGGTACCAGGGATTGAACTCAGAGGCACTTGACACTGAGCCACATCCCCACCGCTGTTTTGTATTTTGTTTAGAGACAGGGTCTCACTGAGTTGCTTAACACCTCGATTTTGCTGAGGCTGGCTTTGAATTCATGATCCTCCTGCCTCAGCCTCATAAGCTGGTGGGATTATAGGCATGAGCCACTGTGCCTGGCTTTGATGTCAATCTTAACAAGCTTAATGCACAAATTAGAATAATAATAATAATAATAATAATAATAATAAGCTAATGCAATAGCTCTTTCACCTTCAAGTAATAACCACTTCATTTTCTTTTTTTTACCTTCGTGTTTCCATTTCCAGTAAGTAACACCTGGAACAGGTCTGTAATGTAACTTTTCAGCATGTGCTGGTGGTCATTGGTAACAGTCATGTTTGTTAACACTCTCAGTCCAGCAAGCTGCACAGCAGAGTTCAGGGGACCAGAGAAGACATCCTCACAGATTTGTTTGATGTATATCTGAAGGCAGAAGTGGCGAAAAGTGAGCATCTTCAAATCTCCCAAACTTTTCTCACAGTGGAGTAAGGCAACTGTTCAGGATGAAACTGGTTCCTCAAAAAAGATAACATGTCTACCCAGCCCTCAAACAAAGATGACCTTTTTTTTTTTTTTGGTGGGGTGGGGGGACATGGATACCGGCAATTGAATTCAGGGGCACTCGACCACTGAGTCACATCCCCAGCCCTATTTTGTATTTTATTTAGAGGCAGGGTCTCACTAAGTTTCTTAGTACTTCGCTTTTGCTGAGGCTGGCTTTGAACTTGCTATCCTCCTGCCTCAGTCTCCCTAGCTGCTGGGATTATAGGCACCTGGCCAAAGATGACATTTCTACCCAGCCCTCAAACTTTGATGACATTTTAAAGCTGCTTTTGTTAATTCCTGGCATTGCGCTGAGCATTTTAAAAATACACCTCATATAATCCTGAAGTCAACTTTAATGAGGTGGGGGTTATAATGGTTAACTTACATCCAGAGACTTTAAAGTCTTTAAGGAGCTTAGGACCCTGTATAATGTCAACTAGCAGGTGGGGGACAATGTCCAAGTCCAGAGATCATGCTCTGAACACCAGTGGCCTTTCTTGAAGGGAGCCTCCCAATTCAATCCACTTTTTAAAACTGGTCTGGGTACAATAAGTTCAGGGAGGAAGATATGCAAAGCCATTTTGTATCATGGTAAATAACTTAGCAGAAGGGTTTTAAGAACTTCACCATTTCAGAAGTAAAGAATGGGGGAACAACATGAAGTAGAACTTTTCTTTAGAGTTATTTCTACCAAAAGTAAGCAGAGCAGGGCATGGTGGCACATGCCTGTAATGCCAGAAGCTTGGGAGACTGAGATAGGAGGATCATGAGTTCAAAGCCAGCCTCAGCAATGGTGAGGTGCTAAACAACTCAGTGAGACCCTGTCTTTAAATAAAATACAAACTAGGGCTAGGGATGTGGCTCAGTGGTTGAGTGCCCCTGGGTTCAATCCCTGGTACCAAAAAAAAAAAAAAAAAGCAGAGCAAAATTATATTTAGCCAAAGGTTTTTCTTATTTTTCTTATATACATCTATCTATCTGTCTATCTTTCTACCTATCTATCTATATGTAAGCGTGCATGCACACGCGAGCATGTGCGCACGCGCGTGCACACGTATTTATCCCTTCATATTGTTGTTAACCACCACTGGCCAAAAGTAATGAATGTAATGCTGGTAATACTCCTATTTCACACATGGGAGAACAAAACCAGTATGATGAAAAGTTTTCTGAAATTCTGTTTTCAGAAAAACAGTGTATGGCCATGATCTTTCTAGCTTAGAAAAATTATGTTTCACAGAAAATTGATATTCACATTACTAAATCGAAACTCCACTAAAATTTAAAACTAGTAAGAAAAATTTTCTAATTTGAAGTGCTAAGAAATGACCAACATTCCAATTAGCCATTTTAAAGAAAATAAATAAATAAATAAATAAATATAACCATGTTGCCAAAGACAGTAATGACAATAAAGAGATTGAATTTTTAATCTAAACATTTAAGCTCTAAATTATATCTACAAGTCAACTGGCTTTCACTGCTTACAATTTTATTACATACTCTATCCTTTAAAAGTGGCATTTTTTTAGGGGCTGGGATTGTGGCTCAGTGGTAAAGTACTTACCTTGCATGTGTGAGGCACTGGGTTCGTTCCCCAGAGCAACATAAATAACTAAATAAACAAAATGAAGGTACTGTGTCCATATACAATAAAAATATTTTTAAAAAAGTGACCTTTTTTTAGTTGTTTATAAGTCACCTATTTTTATAAGATGCCAATGTCTTTCAAAGCACTTACTAAAATGTGTTGAATATTTCCATCCTCATTGTATATGAATCTTCTTACCATTTCAATTCTAGTAACAAGCTTACCCAATGGGGCAGCTCAGTAATTTTTGGATCTGTGCCCACTTCAACTAATTCTTTTCTTTTAGAATTCTCTCCTTGTTTAAAAAAAAAAAAATTCTCTCCTCCTTCATCTCCACCTATAGACACCTTAGATATCTCTAAGAGCCAGGTCAGATTCCACCTCTTACAGATATTTTTGGATGGCAATCTCTCCTTTCCATGTACTCAACAATGTTTTACCTATCCTTCCTTAAAGCAATCCATCATCTTCTGCCTTGAATCATAAATATTTATGGATTTGCCGTACCCCACCTTGACTTTCTTAGAGCAAGTATTCTATTCATGCCTATACTCTGTACTACAAAGCAGTTGTTCAATAAATGTTGAATTCAATTCATATAATTTTTTATTTAGTCCTTCTGAAGTTTTCTAATTCTGGCCTGGTTCTTTTTTATTTATTTATTTTTATGCCTCACACATGCCAGGCAAGTACGTTTCCACTGAACTACAACCCCACCCCCTCTAGCTTGGTTCTTTTAGCACCTTTGCATTAAACTGAACTCCAATTATAAAAGTTTCTTGTACTTCTTTCAGACTAGTTCAGGTTCCTCCCTCCTCTGCTTTATTCTCTATTCCTTTGAAGTTAATTCTTGCCATGAAGTTATACAGGATAGTCTAATGAAGCTTCATTATTTACTATTTTATTATTTTCCCTTTTATATGTAGAAAACCTTATATATTTTTTATTTCAGACAGCTTACCTTTATTTTGATTTGATTTTCAACATTCACACTCAGGTTATTTAGTGCATTTAAGGCTTTCTCTTTAATACTGTGGTTTGGATTGTTGATTTTGTCTCCAACAATTGGAATACCACCTAATTCACGAATAATAGCCTAGAAGGGGGGGAAACAAACAGGACCATAACTTCAATATACATCTCCTTCACTGAACTGTGTGCAGATCTACAAATACAAAAGTTAATCACTTAAAAAAAAGTTAGTCACTTTTAAGAAATACTTTCCCATATAAAAATCTTTCTGGAGCTGGGGATGTGGCTTAAGTTGTAGCATGCGCGCCTAGCGTGCGTGAGGCACTGGGTTCTATTCTTGGCACCACATAAAAATAAAATAAAGATATTGTGTCCACCTAAAACTGAAAAAAAAAATCTTTCTAAGAAAAACTAATATTTTTTTAAAATTATAATCTCTTACATAAAAACAAAAATTGTACATATTAATGGAATACTTTGTAATGTTTTGATACATTTATATATTGTGTAATTGTTAAACCCACCTTGCAAAGAAAAGACCACCCACTCCAATTTTAAACCAAATTAAAGCAAGCTTATGTTGTGTACATAAGAGAGCTGATCAGTGACTGCCTCTCCCAAATACAGGGCCAGAGGACAGCCTCTGGTCTAAAAGAAAAGTTACAAAGGTGAGTATCTTGGAAGCTTACAGCTGACAGGGTTCTGATAAGCGTAATACAAGGGCAGACAGCAGGTTAATGATCTATATAGCTTAACATCTCAAAGTGGGAAGTAAACTCATATTCCAGTATCAAAGTTTGGGCTGGGGATATGGCTCAGTTGGTAGAGTGCTTGCCTTGCATGCACAAGGTCCTGGGTTCAATCCCCAGCACCACCAAGAAAAAAAAAAAATAGCAGCAGCAGCCACTGAAGGTTGCTGGATAGCAGAGTAAACTCTGCCTACCTTTCCAGGCTCATGCCCCGCCTCCTTCAAATGAGCTAAAGCATGCTATGGTTGTTCCTTACCAATATCAAAGTTAATGAGGAGCAGCTGAGATTTCAGGGAGGGTTGTTATCTGGTCAGGGAGAGTCAGGGAGAGCCAGGCATGGGTAAGTTTAAAGCACAGGCAGGAGTTCCAAGCAAGTTTAAAACATCAAAGTGTGGTCAGGCCAAATAGAAATCTTGTTATTTTACAGTAAACAGAACTGAACTTTTCATGACCTTGTGTCAAGATGGCTCCCAATCTTAAGATGGAATTAGGCTGGGTTCATCATAACCAGGTTAAATGTACTATTTCTTTAAATATTTATCACTTCTTTATGGTGAAAATATTTGAAATCCTTTCTTCTACCTTTTTGCAATACATAGTATACAACTATTGTCTATTTTTTTTTTTTTTTCCTTTTTGGGTACCAAGGATTGAACTTTGGGGCATTCAACCACTGAACCACATCCCCAGCCCTTTTAATATTTTATTTTGAGACAGGGTCTTGCTGAGTTGCTTAGGGCCTTGCTAAATTGCTGAGGCTGGCTTTGAACTCATGATCCTCCTACCTCAGCTTCCCAAGCCTCTGGGATTACAGGAGCATGCCATTGTGCCCAGCAACTATTGTCTATTGATGACCCCATTGTCTACACATAATTCTGTGGGTAAAGAAAAGCAATTGAAAATAAAATTATCAAGATATGTGATTATTTGTACTATAGTTATACAATGAAGATTTGCAGTTACTATAATGATTTTGAAGCAGTTAACAAATAAAATTATTTTACTTTGAAATGAGTTATGTGACTTCTTTATTACAGGCAAACTTGGAAAAGTGTTAAGATTTAGAATACAGTGTCTGTAATGTGTATTTTTTGGAACATGAGTCCTTCAAGTTGTTAACAGATGTCTCATTAAAAAGGGGGGGGTTCAATAATTATGTGACTTTGGGGAACTCTGGGTATAACAAGGGAAAACGTTTTTTTACTGTGAGGCAGTAACATGTTCATGTGCAGTGGGAATCTCTTAAGAAGGGAGTAATGACTAGTGTAGTTCTGTGAACTATACACAAAAGGGTCATTTTTCAGTGGTGGAAGTCAAAGCAATACATTAATATCTTGCAGAATTAGAGTTTCACACAGTTTGGAAAGTGGTGCCCAGATTTTCTGAGGAAAAACCATTCGATTTTTTGCATAATTAATTGCCACCCTGAGTTACCATGTGTCATTGGTCCCAAGATTGAAAGAAGTTATCAGTTGCTTTAATTCTCATAAGAAAAATAAGCTGAAAATTACTCTTCTCATGCCAGACATGCCATTCTGTCAGGAAAAAAAAAAAAAAAAAGACTGCCATCATCTACTTTTTACAAATTGCCAGGACTCTATGTTAAAGGTGAGCTTAGCATTGTAGAAAAAGAAACTTCCCTCTGCAATTCCAGGTTTTTTGAAGGACTTGCTATTACTAGGAAACAGTGCCCCCGCCCTTTTCTGTGTAGTTATGCAATGTAACCACAGGGACATGTTCTGAGAAATGGCTTATTAGGTTATTTCATCACTGTGCAAACATCATAGAATGTGCTTAACACAAACTAATAGGGCTACGTCACTGAACAGCATATTCTTATAGGGCTACCATGCTACATGAAGTCTGTCATAAAAGATCCTTAAGCACCATGACTACTGCTAAAGCACATCTAGGCACTATAATTGATGGTGAGGAGCAATGATTGCCATTGCTCAAGGGAATACTTGTTCACCAGTGGCTACTGACCCACTCTGACTACAACTTGTTTCAGAAGGATAGGACACTATGGCATCGAAATATTCAAATACAGGCAAGTTAACAATTTAGTCACCATCTACTCTTTTATTGACTAGTGCTCCTTTTCCCACTGGGTCAGACTGGTACCTCCTCTATTCCACACAGTCCCCTGGTGAGACTGTTGGCCAACTGTGTTTACTGTCTAATTGTGTTGCTAGTGTGGCACACACATCCTGCATGTAAGCCAGGCCTCACTAATCATGGTCCATGGTCCTTTGCCTCAGAGACTGATCCAAAGGGTAGGTACCTAATCCTGGGAGAACAATGTTACATTCTGGATCATGAGCCATAAGGATGAAGGCCTAAGAGGCTAACGGCTTTCTTTCCATTCATTGAAGCAAATCTTTCTGGGCCCAAGACCAATACATAAAAAGCTGGCAAAAGCAAAGCCAAAAGGTGAAGTACAACCTTGAGCTAGATTCAATTGTGCCTGATGCCAATGATATTCTTAGAAGTCCAATATTTTCCCTTTTGAGCTTAAAATAACCGGGATTCTGTCACTTGCAACTGAAATAGTAGAATAATGTATAAATATTTTGTATATCTCCTTAAAAATCAGTAAATTCTGTCATTCTGGAGAAAACTGGACTGAAAGTATAAATTCAGAATATCCTTGCATTTATGATGTTAACAAATGGCATGATATTTAAAAAATTATAAAAATGTTTTGACTTGTTCTCTATGGGGAAGCAGGGAGGAGGAACAGGAAGTATTCAAATAAAGCTCTTTAGTCTTGGTGTTAAGTCTCTACTTGTAAAAGCTACTTACATTGATTTAGGAGTTAACAGAGTGATCCAGGGACCATCTGCATCAGAACCATACTGCAAAGATCTATTACACAATTTAAAGAATGTACTTAAATGTTAGATGCTTTTATTGTTTTATTGAAGCACTGCTAACACTGATAAATGTTGGATAAACTTACTATAATATGCAATGCCAGTAATCAGCTTCATAGGGATCTAGCAACATATTAATAATCATATTACTGCTAGGCTGTGTTTTTAGAAGTAAACAAACATTATGTTGTAGGCATAAAAAATTGAGGCTCTAGGAGATTAAGTAACTTTTCTAGGGTCACAATTATTGCTAGTGTGTAAGAATAGAAGGAGCTTGTTTGCTGAATGAGGGTACTTACTTGGTTAGCTGAAAAGGCTGCATTATTGCCCAGAGTGACCAAGGCTCTTTCCATAATTACAGGATCCTCAGTTGATTCAAGCAGGTAAAGGAGTTTCTGAAGTTGTTCAGCATTTAGAACATCATCACATGAATCACTGGTTAAGTCTTCTGCATGAGAAGAAAATTTAGTTAAAATTCATCTAAAATCAACATGAATTTTTTTTTTTAATTTTAAAAACAGATTCAACACACACTCTTGATGATAGGCACAGTTTTAAGCACTTTACATGTTTTACCTCATTTAATCCTCAAGCAACTCTAGAAAGAAGAAATTTACAATTTATAAGTGGGAAACTGAAGCTCATAGATGTGAAATGGACATTTGGTCTATGTCTATTAGTAAGACACTGTGTGCAAATAAGATACACCCCTAATACTGATAGCATTTTGTTTCTTCCTTTAAAAACCAGGCTCGCCTACCTAAAGTAACACTTTCCCCATGTCATTGGTTAGTTACAGAATAGGTTTTCATTAAGTAGAACTTTTTTGAGTATAATTTTATAATAACTCAAGCACACTGCCTGTGTGGCATTTTTGTATGTTTTAAAGGAACATGACTGGGATGCTAGAGTAATGAATAGTCCTACTTGTGGTAATGACAGAAGTAAAATTATCATCATACAAGCTTTCTGATAAATGTAATCCTAATTTTTAAAGTTTTATAGATATTGGGTTGGGGATATAGCTCAATTGGTAGAGTGCTTGCCTTGTATGCACAGGGTCCTGGGTTTAATCCCCAGCACCAAAAAAAAAAAAAAAAAAAAAAAGTCTTATAGATACTGTGACTAAAATATTTTTAATTAAATTTATATTTAATTCTTGTATACAATGTGTATATATAAGAAGCTACTGACTAAAGTATATTTACCTTATAGTCAGGTTACTTTATTAAACTTATTGCTTGTAATAGTTATTCAGTTAATTATTTTGGATTTTTCCAAATAAAAATTGTCATCTACAATCATAATTTTGCCTCTATTCTAATATTCACACATTTCATTCTTATCAAGCTGGCTGCAACTCTAAGACAATGTTGAATAATAGCTATGATAGTAGTCATACTTCTCTTGTTCTTGAATTTAATAGTGATACTACTTATGTTTCACCATTAAATATATTTGTCTTTGGTTTTTTGTATCATTTTCTTTTTACTGGGGATTGAACCCAGAGCCTTTTGTATGCTAGGCAAGTGGTCTACTGGTGAGCTACATCCCCAACCCTACCTTTGGTTTCTGATGAACACTCTTCAACTTAAGCACATTTCCTTCTATTTATTCCTAACTTGGCTGCAGTTTAAAAATCAGAAATATTATCACAAATCAAATTATGTTTATGAGATCACCATGTGGTTTCTAATGTACTAATGCAATAAATGACATATTTTCCTTGCTATGAATTCTCCTTGTATGTCCATCTGGCCTTGGTATATGTATTATTTCTTTAATTCCTGATAGATTTGCTAATACTTTAAGATTTTTACTTTTATTCATAATTGAGACAGATTTACAGTTTTTCATGCTATCTCTGTCAGGTTTTTGTATGAGACTGTTGAATGACCCCCCATATTTTTTCAATGCTAACAGTCTTAACAGTACAGGAATTACAAATTGCTTAAACTTCAAGAAAAAAGAAAAGATCACCCTTCAAACTTTAAGTGTGATGATAACAAAATGAGTATTTCTCAAGCCTTTTAAAAACATAAAGGTGTAAAAACTCAAAGTGGATCAAGGACCTAGGCATAGACTAGAGATCCTAGAAGAAAGTGTAAACCCAGCTTTCCATCATGATGGCTTAGGAAGCAACTTCTTCAAGAAGACACCTAAAGTTCAATAAGTAAAATCAAGAATCAATAAATGGGGTTTTGGGTTGTAGCTTATTGTTAGAGTGCTGGCCTAGCATATATAAGGCCCTGGGTTTGATCTTCAGTACTACATAAAAATAAATAAATAAAATAAAGGTATAATGTTCATCTACAACTAAAATTATTTTTTTAAAAAAAAGAATAAATGGGACAATATCAAACTAAAAAGCTTCTTCATAGCAAACAATCAAGAGCATGAAGAGAGACGGTATGGAATGGGAGAAAATATTTGCTGCCTGCATTTCAGATACAGCATTAACCTCCAGGATATATCCAGAACGCAAAAAACTTAACACCAAAAAGCAAATTATCTTCACAGAAGAAATACAAATGATCAACCAATAAATGAAAAATGTTCAATTAGAGAAATGCAAATTAAAACTGAAATTTTATCTCATTTCAGTCAGAATGGCAATAATCAAGAATATAAGCAACAGTATTTGTTGGAGAGAATGTGGGGGAAAAAGGTAAACTCATACCTTGCTGGTAGGAATGCAAATGGGTAAAACCACTCTGGAAAGCATTATGGAGATTGCTAAAAACAAACAAACAAACTAGGAATGGAACCACCATTTGACCTGGTTATACCACTCTTCAGTATATACTCAAAGGACTTAAAATCAACATACTGCAGTGATGCAGCCACATCAATGTTTTTAGCAGCACAATTCACAATAGTTAAGCTATGGAGCCAAACTAGGTGCCCCTCATCAGATGAATGAATAAAGAAAATGTGGTATACATACACAATGGAATAAAGATTAATGACTTTATGACTTTTGCTGGTAAACAGATGGAACTGGTGACTATCATGCTAAGTGAAATAAGCCAATCCCAAAATACCAAAGGTCCAATGTTCTCTCTGATATGCAGATGCTAACATGCAACAAGGGGTGGGGGCAGAGGTGAAAAAAATAAAAGTTTAGTGGATTGGACAAAGGGGAATGAAGAGAATGGGGGACAGGAATAGGAAAGACAGTGGAATGAATCAGACATAACTTTCCTATGTTCATGTGTGAATACAACACCAGTGAAACTCTACATTATGTACAACCACAAGAATGAGATCCTAATTAGAATAAGTTATACTCCATGTATTTATGTCAAAAAACACTCTGCTGTCATGTATATCTAAAAAGAACAAATAAAAAAATAGAGGTGTAGTTTCAGGAAGAAAGGACTCTGAGCAATTTATTTTTAAAGTTGTCTGACCTAAAGTAATGATTCATTCCCTTTTGTCCAAAAAACTAAACATTGTCAGAGTTCACCAGGTTGAATCAGGATAAGTGAGAAGATATTTGGGTCCAGGTAAACTCCCCAATTATTTACACAGAAATACCTTTGACACAAGAGTCCACAGATTAGGCTGAGGGTAAATACACACTTCAATCACTTTTCCTTGTGACAAGAGACACCCAACTCACTTTTCTTAGAACATTTCCTTGAGCACATTTGTAATTTTAAATCCTTTGTCCCTTTGATAGAAATGTAAATTTTAAAAAAGTAAATGCCAGTTTTACAATCCAAGGACAGTTATTCTTAAAAGATTTGGGAGCCATCACCTTGAAATGGAAACATTCAAGATGAACACCAATCCCCTCAGTTCTGTGAGGGGATCTTAGCTTAGGCACCTGCTTCCATTTTTTAACTACCTGCTTATCACAAAGGTCCCCCCCTTTCTGGATCAAGGCAACTAGTTAACACACATAACCACCCTATTTATCAATGAATCTGTGATGTAAAAACTGTGCTGTCAAGTTTTCTTTCTTAAGGACAAGCTATTATTTATCTTGAGTTGCATATGGCCGGTTATAGAGGTGGGCCTTCTGTTTTGGAATTCCATTAGTAGACTGCCTGTGATGTTCGAGGCAATATGTCTTAATGCTTACTCAATAATAAAGCTGTTTGGTTCATTACATCTGCGGAAGAGTTTCTTGGTTGGAAGATTTTAATTATTTTCCAAAAGTTTCCATGATCTGGACTAAGAGCAAGCTGTTAGAATTCTGAATGTACGGATTTAATCAACTTTTAGACAGAAACCTCATCATGTCTGCTGGGGGAGTGTGCCTCGCGCTGACAATTGTTCCAATAAACAATACACACCCCCATTCCCAAGTTGCGAGACGGTGGATCATCTTGACAGTAAGCACTTTACATATTTTACCTCATTTAATCCTCAAGCAACTCTAGAAAGAAGAGTTGTGTGCTGGGCCAAGTGAGGGCAGAACTGCCCCTTTGGTGTAGATTCTATCAGGCAGCTGCAAACTTCCCTCTAGGGCTCCAGGGCCCCAACACCCCTCCCTAGATCGGGGTATGCCTTTGGTAACACAAAGGCCCAGAACCAGCTTTAAAATGACAGGCAAAGCAACGCACAGGTTGCTTTGAAACCTCTCCTGATTTTCTGAGAAACCTGGTCTTCTGCTATGTCGCCGATCGCAAGTACAAAAGTTTGGGCAAATTTTCCAACTCCAGATTTTGAACAAAGAAGTGTAAGCTGGGAAGCCCTGGTGGCAGGGCGGATCGTCTCTTGGCATTTCACTAGCCACTCCTCTCTCTCTAGCTCGGCCCTTTCTTTTACTCCAAGGACAGGGAAATCACACAAGCCGTGGCGTCCTCGCCTCCATCCTGGCCCGGGATGGCCCCTATACCGGTACCCAACCATCTGCAGGGCACCCCGCGACCTCACCTGCGGACCGCGAAGGGCGAAGCCGGCGCCCACCGCTACCCCGCTGCTGGCCGCGGGTCAGTCTGTAAATGCAGTAGCAGGCGCCGGCGCCCAAGACCAGGCCTGCGGCAACCCAGCCCACGTCCCGCGCGCCGCCCATGCTGCGGCCGGGCCCGGACAGGCTGCTCAAGGGGGTCGACGTGGGGTCTCCAAAGCACTGGGGCCCAGCAGCGAGTCGATCTCAACTCGGCAAGAGAAAGAAAATGGGTGCCTGAGCTCCGCCTCCCGGAAACGGCACTGTTAAATCGTAAACCCTCCCACTCGACCCCGCTGGTCCCCCGAGCTTCCACCAGGCGGGGCGGGGAGCTGACTCCTGGAGAAGCTGCATCGCTGCGTCCGGGCGACACTTACTGGGGCTTATTCCCTAGTTCAGCCCGCTGGGCAGGAGGCCCGCCCCCCTCGCCCCCCCCCCCCCCCCCCCCCCCCCACCGCCCCGCCTTTCACTGCCCCCCGCCCCGCCCCTAGTGGGGACGCGGGCTGCGCGGGACTCCGCAACCAGCCCAGTGGTTGCCGGGCAACGCATGGTCGCAGCGAGTCAGTGTTCCCTGAGCAGCTGGGAGGCGCGGGGCGCTGTGGGGAGACAGAGCGTAGCCTCTCTGCCCGGCCTCTGACCATGTCCTCTCTACGCACTGCCAGCCCCAGGCTGAGGAAATACTTCAAGGAAAACTACATTCCTCAGATCTGCGAGGTACTGCAGCCACTGGACTGCGGACCCGGGTCCTGCTTGGGGAGGTGGAAAGGGGAGGAGTCAGGAAAGACTTCCTCCAATAGGGGCTGGGAGGAGTGGCGGGAAGGAGCCGCGGAATTGGAGAGGGGGAAGTCAAATTTAGGTAAATTGGTCTGGACTCAAAGTACTGATCAAAGGCAGAAGGGTAGTAATGGCTGAAGATAAGGAGTGGGGTGGAGATAGTGGGTGACATCTCCCAGGGCCCAGGGCGGAAACCCCAAACCCCAACTTTTAAGGTTTGAATAAGAGCCTGAGGGACAGGAGAAGGAATGAAAAAAAAAAAAAAAAAAAATGCCAGAGAGCAGAGGAAAATTAGGAGATTGTGTTAAGAAGGAGGTAGTGGGCCGTGATCACCTAGGGGGTTCTGGGGTTGTCTCAGAATGAGCCTGTGGGGAAGGACGCTCACAATCAGGATTGCCCCCGCATTTAAACTGATGGGTAGGAGGATAGTATGGGGGTGAATAAAAGGTTTTGTACACTTAGGGACAGGAAAGAGTTATTTGGGGACTTAATTTTCACTGCAAATTGCTGGTGAAATACTTGTCAAGAAGGTGTATGTTTGGATGGGATTGGGGGAGGAGTGCAGGAGGAGATTTGAGCAAAGTAACAGTGGAGAATGAGGGAGAGAGATACCTAAGGAAGGAAAGAGAAGAGCCCAACTGAGGGTAGTTGACTTTCTTGTGTGGTTGGGAGGGCCATTTGTTACAGCCCTCTTCCTTGTTGAAAGGTAACTTAGGAGTACTTATTAAAATGTTAAGTACAAGTGTACCCCATTGCCTAAGTTGATTTTTTTTTTCTGAGGAATCCTTCACCACTTCTGCTCCTCCATTACCAGCAGGTGGAAGAGAACATTGTCTTCTGGGGCTCTACACAGACATATTAAATTCATTATCCACTTCCCCTAAAAGAGTATAAAGGTGAATTTCATTTCGCTTTCTATCTTTTTACATCTATTTATCTGACACAATTTCCCAGCACTTACACTCTTCTAAAATTGATCTGCATGTTTTGAAATACATAAACACTCTTTCATCATAGATTTCCCTGTATAGTTGACTTCTTCTGAACACCTGTGTATTCTAAGTAAAACCTAATTGTCCACTTATAATATCTGCAAACTTCTTGACTAGAGTCTGATTTAAAAAAAAAAATATCTATCTAGGTATGGTGGTGCCCACCCTGTAGTTCCAGCTACTTGGGACACTGAGGATTGTTTGAACCCAAAGTTGGAGGCCAACCTGGACAACATGGCAAAATAAACAAAAACCCCACAAGGCATTCTGCATGGTTCACTGGGCTTACTGAAACTGTTGATTGATATTTTAAATCAATTTTAGAACTGTTCATTTAAAAATATTGCTTTTATCCAATTCTCTTTTTCTTCTTTTGGGAATCCAGTCATAAATATGTTGTTGTTGTTATTTACTTCTACATACTTTTTTTTTTCCTTCGGTTCTATTTTTTCCCCATGTTTAATTTTTCCTGTGTGCTCAATTTTGGATCATTTTCATTGACTGTCTTCAAGTTTCCTAATTGTTTTATTCTGTATCCATTCTCCTGTTAAATATATGAAATGAATTTGTAATGAAATCTTAATTTCAGACAGTATATTTTCCTAGAATGTCCATTTGATTCTTGTTAATATATTTCACTTATTAAAATTATGAATCTTTTCATTCATTTTGTCTATCTTGTTTTCATGAATGTGTTAATGACTTATTTTAAAACCATTGCCTGGTACCTTGAATATCTTGAATATCTGGTCTGCTTCGATGTTTGTTTTCTTCAGCTGGTTGTTCATCCAGTTACAACCTCTGCATATATCTAGTAGTTTATTTTATTGGACATCATGTAAAAACAAAAGTAGACATTTCACATGGTATACTCTTTCAGCAGAGAAGAGTCTCCCTTTCCTTTCTATAGAGAAAGGAAGAGCTGGTAACATCAATCCCAGACAGGACTAAGTTGGACTTAAGACTTAAGACTTATCCTTTTATCTTGGTTTGTATTATTCTTTTCTCTTTCTTTTTTTCCCTTTGACCAATTTCTCCTCCTCCTTTCAGCCCCTATATAGGGTAGTAATTTTACTACCTTTAATAACTAATTTCTCAACCTATTCCAGAACATACCCAGATTAGAGGAACTGTGGAGAAAATTTTTTTCTAAGGGTTATCAGTACATGGCTTTGCTCTCAAGTGATTGCAGTTAATAGGGTTTAGTATCTTCTCTCAAAGTGATGCTGATACTAGGAACAGCAGAAGATACACATCGAGTGAAAGTATCGCTGCCTGAATATTTGCCCAGTCAGGGCACTTAAGAGAAGGAAGCTCACTAAATAGTTATTTGCATAAAAATAAAAAGGATATTCATCCCAGAAGATGGGTAGACGTATAAGCAATATGAAAAAGCAAGGGAATGAACCACTCCAAACAGCCTACAACACTGTAACAATTGATTCCATTGAAACCCCAGTGGAGGAAATATTGGAGAAAAAATTCAGAAATTTCATAGTTAAAATGCTCAGTGAGCTAAAAGAAGATGTAAGTAATGAACTTACAGAGAAAATACAGAAGTCAAAAGATCTCAAAAAGAGACAGGGAGGGAGGGAGAATAATTCATTCTGGAAAAGAACCAAGTCCTTCAAATGAAAGACTCAAAAAAATTAAAAATTTAGTTGAAAGAATCACCAATAGATTAGAACACACAGAAGATAGATTCTCAGGCCTTGAGAACAAAGTGTTTAATCTTGAAAATAAGTTGACAGTTAAAAAAAAAAAGATGTTAAGAGAACATGGCCCAAACATTCAAGAAGTCTGGGGTAACATTAAGAGACCAAAGTAAGAATCATTGGCATAGAAGAAAGCACCAGAATATAAACTAAAGGAATGCACAACCTTTTCAATGAGTAATATCATAAAAAATTCCAAATCTTAGGAATGAAATGCAAATCCAAATAGAAAAGGCATTTAGAACTCCAAATAGCCAAGATAAAAAAAAAAAAAAGATTCTCTCTAAGACACAGTAAAATTAAAATGCCTATATACAGAATAAGGATAGAATTTTTAAAACCACAAGAGAAAAACGGCAGGTCACATTTAAAGGTAAGCCAGATAGAATTCTATGGATTTCTTAGCCCAGACACTTAGAACCAGGAGGGCTTCAAATAACACAGGCCAAGCTCTGAAAGAAAACAGGTGCCAACCAAAATAGTTTTGCTAGCAAAACTATCCTTCAGAATGGAAGATGAAATAAAAACCTTTCAGGATAAGCATAAACTAAAAAAATTCATAACCCCATAACCACTTCAAAACATACTCAATGAAATAGTTCATGCAGAAGAAATGGAAAATAAATATCATAGCCAGCATAGGGATGAATTCCACAAGAATAGTTAATTAACAGAAAATCACAGCTGAATTAAACATTCAAAATTAATCAAAATGATAGGAAATAAAAATAATCTCTTTAGAATAACACTGAATATAAATGGTCTTAACTCTCTAATCAATATAGATTGGTGGGATGGATTAAGAAATTCATTTTACAGGCAAAGACATCCAGCCTGAAGTAGAAAGGATGGAAAAAGATATGCCATGCAAATGGAGAACAGAAGTAAGCAGGGGTAGCCTCTCTCATATCAGACAAAACAGACTTAAAGCAGAAAAATTCAGAGGAGACTAAGGTCACTTAATACTAGTTAAGGGAATCATCCAACAGTAAGATATACTGATTGTAAATGTTTATGCCCCAAACATTGATGCATCTACATACATACCCTATACTCAAGAATCAAATAGACTACACTACCTTAATAGTGGGTGATTTCAACACACCTCTTTCACCAATAAATAGGTCATGCAGACATAAACTAAGTAAAGACTCTTTAGAACTACATACTATCAAACAAATGGATCTAACAGACAATTATAGAATTTTTTTTCTATCAACAACCAAATTCACTTCTCAGCAGCACTTGGGACTTTCTTAAAATAGTCCATATTTTAGAACATAAAACAAGTTTTAGCAAATATGAAAAATAGTAGAGATACATCCTTGCATCCAATTCAGATCAATATGGAATAAATTAGAAATCAATAACAAGATAAAAACAAAGCATTTTAACAACTGGAGATGAAATAATACACTTTTGAAGGCAGATCATAGAAGAAATCAGGGGAGAAATAAAATTCTTAGAAACATGAGAACAGAGGTACAACATATCAAAATCTCTGGAACAGTATGAAAGCAATTCTAAGAAGAAAGTTTATAGCATTGAGTACTTATGTTTAAAAAATAGATTATAAATAAATAATGTTATTCCTCCAGGTTCTAGAGAAAGAACAAATTAATCCCCTAATCAGTAGAAGATAGGAGGTAATTAAGATCAGAGCTGAAATTAAGGAAATTGAGAATAAAAGAGCAATATAAAGGATCAGTACAACAGAGCTGGTTCTTTTAAAAGGTAAATGAGATTGATAAACCTTTAACCAAACCAGCCAAAAGAAAGAAAAGATCTAAATTAACAAAATTATAATAAAAATTATAGATAAAAATATCACCACAGACATTTTTGAAATCCAGAGGATCATTAGAAACTATTTTGAAAACTTACAGGTCAATAAGCTGAAAAACCCAGAAGATAAATGACAAATTTCTAAACATGTATGACCTACTCAATTGAACCATGATGATATAGAAAAACAGAACAATATCAAGCAATGAGATTAAAGCAGAAATGAAAAGACTTCCAACAAAGAAAAGCCAAGGATCTGTTAAATTCTCAGCTTAGTTCTACCAGACCTTTAAGGAGAACTAATGCCAATCCTTTTCAAATTATTTCACAAAATAGAGAAGTCCACCAAATTCATTCTATGAAGCTATTAAAGACACATCAAAGAAAGAAAACCATAGGCCAATATCCCTGATGAATATAAGATGCAAAAATCCTTAATAAAAATCAT